TTATTTTGTGTACATACGTTTTATGAGACAGTGATCTCTTTAAGGGTTTTTTTTTTTCTCTTGTAGAAAGTTTCCTTCACTGTTAATGTTTCCTGTCTCTCACACAGAGCTATTTCAAATTGCATGTTTTATACTTCTTCCTTTATTTGGATGAAAGTTAACTGAATAGGCTTTGGTGTACTGGTTCTCTTAGTAGTTTTTGTTCTTTAAAAACTTCCATTAGAATAGGGTGCATTCTTTCTGTTTGTTGAAGTAACTTAAGAAAAAATCTGCATAGGAAAATAATCTGTGGATGTTTTAAATGTTTGTAAAACATCTCTAAAATGATCTTGTTACATAATCAGCAATTTTTTCTATTCTGACGTTGACTTATGCAGCAAAAAACTACAATGAGCAGAACAATTTAATGATGGCCCTGAGGGTGAGAAAACTCTGGCTGAGACTGCTTTGGAGCTGGAAATGCAGGACATCAACTTGACTGGAATACACTTATTCCATCAGGAATTTTAGCTTACCTAGCAGCCTTTACATCCAGCTACAGGCAAGTGACATGTACAGTGATTTTGTTCTTCTGTTCTTTTAATAGTCTAAATTTAATTAATTTTTCTTCTAATATAAATATATTTTAAATTATGTTTTAGTAAAATTAATAAGTGGAACTGAAACTGTGTTGTTCGTTGTAGGCTTTTGAGTTTTCTTTATAAGACTCCTGTGAAATATTCTTTTTTTCTTCTACTGGAGGGTACTGTGTAAAACATGGATTCCTTTGGTTCATGTTCTTCTCTAAAGCAACAGTAGTTCCAGAAGAGCAGATGGCCAATCCCTGCAGATGTTGTGTTATTGCTCCATCCCTGGAAGTGTCCAGGCCCAGGTTGGATGGGGCCCTGAGCCCATGGCAGGGGGTTGGAACTGGATGATCTTTAAGGTCCTTTCCAGTCCAGGCCATTCTATGAACCTGTGATTTGTGCCTATAACTCTTAAGGAAATAAACAGAAATGCAGAATACAGAAAAATTTTGACATGGCAGATAATTTTTATCTGGAAGAACTTTTGAGTGTCAAGATTACCCTGACTTTGAATGTTTTTGAACACCAAAATCTTCCACTGAATTCAGCTAAAGAACTTAATGTCTACTTATTTTGAAAAGCAGGTCCAGGTTAATGAAGATTGCTAAAACTAAGAGACAAGAAAATCAGTCTGTCATTTGAGGATATAATTTGGATATTTTCCCTAATTCCCCTTTTCCTTCAATGCACTTACTTTGGCATTAGAAATACTACAGATACAGGGTATTGATTGTACTTCAGGAAGCAAAACTACTTGTTGAAATTAGAGTATATATGCTGGTATTCTGATTGTATATGTAATTTTTTCCCAAATAATTACTGTATTAATAATTCAATCACTCAGGCTAAACAGTCGACAAATGTTAATGAATTCAAGACTTGTACAGTTCATCCTCCATTTCACTTTTACACAGCTTTGATCAAAATTCTTTTTGAACTAATGGAAAGATGATTAGCATTTTAAAACTAAATAATGATAGCTTTTAATTTTGAAAGGTGAGATAGAATCTACCTCAAATTGATGGTACATATTATGCCTGTAGTTATGAGTTTATGGCTGGATATTAGGGCCACAGGAACAGTAGAAAATGCAACTCAAGCTTTTTGTAACAATAAATTTTTTTCAAAAGCAGAATTAGTGAGCAAACCAAGGATAATTTGCAAACATACCCAGTGACTGCTTATGCATTCCTGTCAATGAAGAAGGATTTTATAGATGATGAAAGCTGTGTGTGTTGGGCTGATATTAGAGAACTATTCTTTAATTATTCAAATAGTAAGTCTGAAGTGAGATATGCTGAAAATAATATGTGACTGAAACTTTGAAGTAGGGAAAGAAATAATGCAGGTTTTAGCTGAGTTTTACCCAAATGCTCAATTCCTGTTTCTAGACTGTGCTTAACGTGGAGGTTTCCTGTGTTCAGTTTACAGTCTGCAATTGCTGGTAGCAGCTTATGTGGCAAATGTAACCTGGCTCCATCTCCCTTGGGTCTCTCCTTGGGCACTGACAAGTGACTGAGCCACGTGGAAATTTGGGAGCTCAGCAGTTCTTCCAGTACATTTTTGACCCACTGTTATGTGCTGTGAGATTCTCTCTCTATCCCTGCTGATGCTGCTGCCTCATCTGACAGATATTCAGGTTTCCAAACCCTATTGCTTCTCCAGACCTATGGTGTCACTAAATTTTCCCTTATCTGTGTTTATCAAATTACTCAAACTCCTTTTAACTTTACAAATTTCACAATTTATTGATATAATGCTGTGCTGGTGGGTTATAGATGTATTTCCTGAATCTCTGTATGCATTTTACCTGTGAAAGCTTCCTTCTCTTGTGGGTAGGCTGCACAGTATCCCTTTCAGATGTTTTCCTGAACCTTTCCAAAAGGGGGAAGAAAGGCATCCTCCTTCAGCTGGTGATGGGTCATTCCCAAGTACTGTGATCCATAATAGAGAAGGTTACTGCCATTCATGGTACATTTTTCCACCAAAACTTCCTCTCCTACATTTAGGCTTTTTTCCCATAATATCCATTTTCATTAGTGAAAAATTCCCTTTGTTTCTACTTGAAAATACTCAGTTATGCATGCAACTGTGTTAAAGCTATTCAGAATTTCAGAGGGGTATTATTATTTGGAATTAAATATAAAACTAAATGTGATTAAACTTTCTAGCAGGTAAGAACTCTTATTCTAAATACATTCTCTCAAAGAGGAAAATTGTTTTTGTAAACAAAGAACTTTAGTGTTCATCTGTCTCTTAAATTGCACTGAGTATGTGCCTGCTATGATTTCATACTGATGTGCTTCTGCTGTAATGACAGAAGGGAATAAATTGCCTTAAGAAGCACTTTGAGGTAAACATTTGAAGAGCTTATATTTCAATTTTGAAAGTTTGTATTTTTCCCTTTGGTAATGCAAGAAGATGGCCTCTGCTCATGGCTCCTTAGGGAGCTATCAAACAAACAAATGAATAAAGAACATGGAAAAATCCAACAGTTTGCATATAATCAAACTCAGAGACCCTCAGTTTATTGCAGCACTGGAAAAGTGCGTTCAGTTTGGCAGTGCTGGAAGGTTGATGACTAATGAAAGTGTAAATTACAGAAGCACCTGGAGGGGGCACAATTAGCTAAAAAATCAAAGTAGTGAATATCCAATGTTCTCATACTTAAGGGAAATAAGTATGTTTTTCCCTCCTTGTTTTGAATCAAGTGAATGTTATTGAAGCCCTCACTCCAAGTAATACTTAAAACTATACTAAGATACTTCTTAGCACAATATAATAATCAGTTAAATCTTTATATTTAATTGTTTTATGAGAATTGCAATTTCTTTTTTTTCGTATTAGAATAATAATATTTCTACACATTATCTTGCTGGAAAATCAGTTAAAGTGAGAATTTTGAAAGTAAATGTGCAACTTTGTTTTAATTTTAAAGTGATTCCTTTGCTAACACCTGGGAAGAATTCCTGGCATTTGTTTATTCCTCCTCCCCTGCCAACATTTTTTTACACTGTTGGGTGACTGGTATCACAAGTGTTGACATTTCTCACATCTAATACTTCACCTTGCAATTCTGACATTCTTTCATCCAGTCAGGAATTTATTTAATTAATTACTTTCATCTCCTTTCCAGTCTGGAGCTCCTGATGCTAGTTGCTCACCTTTTTTTATAAAAATATTTACAAGACTTAATACAGTAGTCACCTCACACGCAAAAGCTGCATTGGGCTTTTTTATCTGTAGTGTAGTTAGGGACAGGGAAGGGCCTGGGCAGTTTAAGTTTAGCAGAACTGTTAAAGATATTGCTAGTAATCAGTTTAGTTCAGAGCTTAATATTTTGGGATCATATTTGAATGTACCTTTGAGGCAGTCTGTGTTCTATAAATCTTTGACTTTAAATTTTACTATTTTACATCTCAAAAAAATCCCCTGTATCCCTGTGTGCCTCAATTAGAGTGTGCAATAAATAAAATTACCTCCCTTTGTTTCCAAACCTTTCTGTCAGCAGAAATATGAAGAAACAGAACCTGAATCCCAGCTGCCAGTGTGGATTACACCAGTCATCCCCAGGGAATGTTTGGTGTAGACCCTTTTTGATGATTTTATCCAGGCAAGAAGCACTCCAGTAGAGTCCAGCAGCAACTGAAGAAAGCCACGAGACCAGCAAAGGCAGAGGTAGGCAGCCACCGAGAAAATTCTCTGTTAATTAATAGTTCACATAGCCCTCTTTGGCTTGGGCTACCTTCACTAGTCAGACTCTTTTCTCATGCAAACCATATTAATTTTGTGACTTGAAAAAAAATTTACATTTTGTCCCACAGTCATCTTTGTGTCAGTATTTTGTGCATAAATTGTATGTACATCCATTTAACTGATGAGGAACCATAACTTTGAAAGGACTTAATGCTAATAATAACTCAGTAATTATCACAGTAATAATATTAAAAATTATCCATTTGTTGTTAACTGAATGGAAGAAAACAGAAATAGACTGAAACACAAGACTGAAAAGGAGACACAGCTCAAATGGCATAGCTTGCTCTCATTCTTGATCTTCTGTCAAAAGCTTTACACTTTTTAATGATGATAGATTACAATTAGGTCTGAGAACGATCACCATGCCTGAAATACAGGAATGATTCTCTTGAGTAGCTCTCTGCCAAGGGCTTGGTGACCTAGGTAATTGGGAAAAAGCTATAGAGATTTTCCACACCTTTGTTTCTACTTTGAAAAAAGAATTTGAAGTAGTTTCTGCAAATTCTTACACTGCATTTCAAACCACCTGAATGGACCTCACCTTATTTTGTCTGAGGTGCTCACGGTAGTCAGAAAAATAATTAATTATCCTTCCATCTTATATGACCATATAAGATGGAAGGATAATTCCATATCTGGAATTATAGAAAAATAATTAATTATCCTTCCATCTTACTCTTCATATCTGACCATAACCACTTCCATGTCCAGGTAACACTTTTGCCAGTTAGATTTTCATCATTTAAATTAACAGTAAGAAAAATTATCACCAATATTCAGTGAAATGACCCAGGAATTCTTAGACTCTCTAAAAAAAAAAAAAAAAGATTGTGTATTTTTTCATTGTAAATATCCAGGCTTTAGAAATACTTTTTAATTAAAGAAATAGCATAAAGTACGCAGAGAGGGTGAGAATGGATTTTTGGTTGGAAATGCTCATAAATGAGTATGAGAGACATTAAAGGAACTAAACACTTAACCACATTGCAGGAAATAGCCTGATTTTCATTCTTGGCCTTTCTTTGGGCATAAAAATAAATACAGCAAGTTGAAGTCCTTTGGGAAATGATCACCTGGAAAATGAACAGAGAAATGATGACATTGGAAAAAGAGACTGAGGGGGAGCTACTTCATTATGCAGGGTTATAGCTGTCCCCACTCTGGAAGCTGCAATCACAACATAACAGCCGGGTTGGGCATAGGCCATTTGCAAACCAAGCAACACTAATGCTTGACACTAATTTTCTCATTCTTGTTTTTCTGCCTTCAGCTGCAGCCTAGCTCATAGTTACCTAGTAATACAATGTGATTGTCATTGATAGCATGTTATCATTGTAACCTTAAAGACTGGCACTAGAATAGAGCTCTAACAAAGAGGGAGCTAAAATGGATGCTCTCTCCCCCCCCCCCCCCCCCCCATAATTTCTTCACTTTCTAGTGAAGAACTTGAAAATTACTCCACATCTTCCAAAGATAGTAATCCTGTGCTGTACAAGAAGCTTCTTAGAGTAACATGTATTTAAATGGTTTTTTTAAAAAAGCTTTAAGCATGTCAACCTCATTTCTGTAACTTAAGAAAAAATACTTCATGGATTGATGTATCCAGTTAAGGGATAACTTACTCTCAAGATAGGGAATTCATAAATGCTTTGAAGAATGTTGAAATATGTTTTTAGGATCCCCAGCATGAAGATTTTCTTGCAGAGTGGAAAGACAAGTCAAAAGTTTCAAAAGCTGCTGTTCGTTCACTGCCTGAGACCTGACAATGTAATGTACAAAACTTTCACCTTACTGAGAAGGGTCTGTCTGCATCTTAAAAACCAAAAATATTTGCAAGTATGCATGCACTTGTATTCTACAACAATCTCTCAAAGAGGAAAATAGAAATTAATAAGATTTTTTTAAAGAACTTCAGGAAGTTTGAAATTGTAATGAAAAACTTTTAAAAACAGAATAGTGGGACTTTAGCTTTTGTTGATTCAGTTGCACACCAAAATATCCAGAGCTCTTTCTTGAAACTGTCTTACACACCTTGTGTCTACCCTTATTCAGTACACCTGCTATTTGTGCTGGATGTGGCTGTCTGTGTCAGTTTGGTCTGATCTAGAAAGACAACTTAGTGGTAAGCAGGAGAGTAGTAATGCAGGTGCCTAAGCAATTGTTGCAGACACACAGATCCATTTAGTTCCCTGGAAAGTGTTTTGAAGCAGAGCTGTTGTGATTTGAATCTAGGCATAAGGTTTTAACACAGATCACAGAAAGTACTCACAGTTGTGAATCTTTATTCAAAACAAAAAAGTCAGCTTGCTAAAAACCAGAATAGAAGTATTTGCTTAGACATTTTCCATACACTGTCAGGGTAGTGGAACTGCTCTTAGCTCCTGTCCCAGCCATACTAAGAAAGCACACTGTGAGAGACAGGCCATACCTGTCTGTACTCACTCCTCCCAGTCAGGAACAGTTCTCTACATCATACACTCCCTCACCCACCTGTTCAGCTTTGCAATCACACTCAGACAAAGAGAGGAAATCAAGAGTCACTTTTAGAGCCAGAGTCACAGCTCACTTGTGCTGGGCTGCTTTTGGCGGCAGCAGATTCTCCAGGCTGCTGGGCTGAAGGCTCATCCCCGAGAGGCAGCGGTGCCGGGAGCGAGGGTCTGGAGCCAAAGTAATTCACCAGCCTCTGCCTCGTCGCTGCCACCTCTTCTTGAAAAGAGCTTATGGCGCGGCTGCCAACTTTGCACTTGAATCAAAGCAAGACATTGAGCCTTTCAGCGGAGCAGTTGGACTGTATCGTTCTGCCACATTCCAACCCTCCCTCCTCAGGCTGCATTCGGGTATCTGTTTCATGATAGCAATCATACCCCGGTCAGCCTGGTGCACAGCCCTCCCAGCTATCGGTGACACTGTCCTTGGGGCTAAGTGTCCTCACCTGAGGCTGCTGCTTCTAATTTTTTATATGCTTTATCTAGAAATATGTTCATATTATGGCCAAGACCCCTCTTGTATCTTGAGACATTGCTCTAAATCATTCACAGTTCAAGTTAGGTAACACCACTCTTAGTCCACCTTCTAAGATATCATTGTGCCCCATTATCCTATTTTTTTGTACTTTAATCTGTTGCACAGTGACCTTAAATGCTTAATCTTGACAGTCACCAGGTATATATGTAATACAGAACATTATTAGCAAGGCAGAGATCTTATTTGTGCAAACCCACCAACAAGTAATATGCAGAATCTTTTACTGTTCCTCATCAGGGAGCTTGGTTCACATAATTCTTACTATCCATAGGATTAGGGTTCATAGATCAGCTGATCTGGATCAACTGAGCTGCTCAGTTGTGTGCTTTTCTACATGTCAACACTACAGGATGAAACTCCCCAGAAGTGGGGAGGAGTAAAATATTTGAAATGAGCTTAACATTTTAATTAGGCAGATTTATATGTAAAACTGGATATGTGAAGCAATAATCTGGTCAAATTTTGTCTTTTCACGTATGTTGTTCATCCCTCCTGTGAATGATAAAGCTGCTCATTGTTGAATTTTGTGCATTGATTATTGCACCCTATGTATTTTTTCTTTGCTGTAATGAGTTGTTGGAAAAACACTTCTAAAGGAAGCAGGTTTGCATTCAGAAACCAGACAATAACTTAAACTGAGAAGTGCTTAGGTGCAGATTTCTTAGCTAATAATGCATATAAATCAATACTTCATGTTCTAGCCTTAGACAATCATTCCTGGCTGATGCTTGGAAATCTTAGCAAAAGAAGTTGTTTATAGTCTAGCTTAGAATTCCAGATGACAGTGGCTAACACTTACAATGAAGGTCCTCAGCCGTGCCATCTCCAGCATGTAGTACTCCTCCATTGTCAGCTCATCAAAGTGCTTGGGAAGGGATAAAAAGTCACAGGTGTGACGCTTGCTGTGTTCCTCCCTGCAATATCAACCCAGAATAAGAACAGATGTTAAACCCACAGAAGTTTCATTTCAGGAGAGGAAGAGATCTGTACAGGCAGGTCTCTTCAGTACTTGTGCTGTCTATCAGCAGAAATAATAGCATACAGAAAAGATGAAATAGATTTTAGTGGCTCTCGGATAAAAGCTAGTTGAACAATTCCACAGTTCCTGGGCAAGATAAGCTTCCAGTTTTGTGCACTGTCATAGCGAAAATTGACAGGGACATTAACTCATTGTAAAATTACTACAGAAATTTGGAGAGATACTTCTCAAGAGCATTGGTACATCTTTGCTTACCATGGGTCATCATTTGGCTCCCAGCCCACCAGTTCTAACAAGCAAAAGAAACATTTTGCCACATCTGGTTCATTTGCAGTTGGACAGTGGATGAAGCCAGCCTTTGCCATCTGCAAGGGACAGTTTACAAGTTTAGAGCATTATCCCACACACGCTACTCATATTTACTCATACTTCCTGGCACTTTAGAATCACATCTAGTCAAGACACCAAAAATTAAGTTTGTTTCAGTAACCAAACATCTCTTCAGGCAACTCTAGCAGTATGACTCATCTGAGATTCAGGCTGGCAGTGTCATGTGTGTGCCAAAGTAGAAGTCAGGTGGATTTTTTATTTAAATAATTCCCATTTCTGAATTTGAAGTAGTGATCATTCCACTATATCCTTCCTGCTGGATCTGTACTTGTTTAATGGAGGCTGCTTTCTCATGAACAGAAATTTGCAATTAGAAAGACTATGTAATACAAGAAATTAATTTTTAAATGACAAGAACAGAAAAAAAAAGGAACAAGAACAGTAAATATTAGAATCTGTAGGCAGACTGTGGACTGAACACAGAAAAACCAGAAAATCCCACTACAGTATTTCTGAGCAGGGAACAGAGGAAAGTTGAGTATTTAACTCATCTTCAGGCTTAGTGGACTCCTCTTGAACCTGAATACACTCAATAATGACTTCACATTCAGGCATGGCATATATAAATTAAGGCAGAGGCAAACCAACCATTTTCAGACTTACATTCTCTGGAGTGCACTTGCAGTTTTCCTGGAAGGGCCACTTGGTGAAGGTTTTTAAACGGGTCTCATACTCATACATCTCCTTAAAGTCAGTTAAGAGCTTGGAAGCTGAGCTGAGCTCTTGCAGCAGAGTCTCCATCTCTGAAGCCTGCAATCAGTGAAAGGCAGAGCTTCCCTCCTACTCTCACTTTTAAGGCCTTTGCTAATTGGTGACACCTGGAGAGCAGGGGAAGGTCTAACAGAGCCTTAGTCCCTTCCTAACACAGGTGAGTTTATGGGTAGGACAACCAAGGGAAATGAAGCTGCTGGAATTTCTTCCCCTTGTGTCACAGTCTCTGTCCTTGGTCACGTTATATATTTTTTAACTGAAAGCACCTATTACTATTGCAGATTTTACAACTGAAATGTCAAAACCTGCAAGTTTAAAACTCTAGTTACAAATGCAGAAACTTTGCATATAAAGTTTTAAAGAATACTATCCTGATTGCAAGGAAATGGGTTGAATTGACATTGCTGTTTGAATCCTTCAGTGTTTCTTGAATTTCACATTCAGAGATTAATTCTTAGGATTGTCTTTGCAAATAGTGTTGCATTTCTTTAAAGAGGAGGTGGTTGTTTTATAATATTGTAAGTACTCAGTTCTATTTTAAAATATTATAGAGCATAGCCAGATGCTGGATTAAATATTTTAAAGGTGTATAAGCCAGATGCTGGGTTAAATATTTTAAAGGTGTATATCTGTAAGGGTTTACAGTATCAAAGCATTAAGTTGTCATTTTATAAACTGTCTCTTATTTTGGTAAAGAATCCAGTTGAATTCAGTAGAAGTTTAAACATCAGTGTCTTCAAGAATGCTGCATGCAGCAGCTTTCTAAGCCAAAATCTTAACACCTCTGAAGGATTTTGCATTGTGAGACTTGGAAATTTAAATCTCTGAAATACAGATGGAGTAAGTGCAGAAAATAATCCAGCCCATTATTCTGTCTAGATGTGGTGACAGAAATGAGATTAAAGAACATTTGTATAGGACTTCCAATGTCAGCCCTTGGGGCATTGCTTTTGCCTAGATTTACAAATGCTACATCATTGAATCCTCTGGGACTGTATGTCTATTGTATATTCAGGAATACTGTCCTTGAAGTTTATATTCAGATATTTAGAGTAACATGTGTTACATGAAAATAGGATACTTTAATTTATTTTTTTTTCCAGATGATACCAATGGTGCAGGAATTTATCATTCATAACCTGGGCCCTCCAAGCACTGATATTAATAGTTTCTCCTGGTGATGACTCCATGGCAGCTGATGATCAGATATTTTAATCTCTTTTTTACTGTAGTTGAAGTTTGTGTGTGTATGTGTGTGCACATGTGAGTGTATTTGTATGAAGCAAGGAACTTTGTTTAACTAAAAATTGAAATGCCAAACCAAACCCAAAACCTGTTTTTAACTGCCCAAAACCAGTAAAATTGATCTCATGCTTCTCTTTAAAACAAGGCACTAATTCATGCATGTGGATTGTTTTCAGGAATGAAGAATTTGTCTGTTGTTTAAAAGAAACTGTAGGTTAAATATTTTGGCATATTTTATCATCTTGGGATGTCATGATCTATTTAACTAATTAATTTGTGTCATTTCAAATGGAAAATGCAAAAATGGAACAAAACCACAATAGTTTAAATGCTTCTTGTAAGCAGTCTGATCTGAAAATGCTATTTTTTCAAAAATGCTTTATGTGTAATACATAATTTAATCAAAAACACCACAGTAATATGGGACCTTGGAGTCCTGGGTGATATTTATGCATCGGAATTGAAATACAGTGCTTTGTGGTTTTTGGTTTTTTTTTTGCTTTGATTGTTTTTATGGCATTTAAAACAAACAAAAAATTCCCAACAGCCCAAATCTGTTCTTATGTAGAAAAGTACTGCTAGAATACTAGAAAGTAAGATTATACATGCAATGACACATCCTAAGATGTATTTCTTGCATTTCCTGCCTATAATTCTGTCAGAATTCTGTGGTGTTGAGAATGACAGGTACATTTCAAGTCTATCTGTAAAGGTATCCTTTTTTTGGGATATAAAATTTTATAGTAGGTTGTCTACATCCTTCAAGAGAATACTGTTTGCAGAAGTGTTCTGAAACTGTCAGAATTTCATAGGTCCAGATTAAATGGATGGGTAGATGGAGCTTTTCACTGGAAGACACACAAGATGTGGCATGACATGAAAGAAAATATTTAAATCATATTTTAAACGATTAAATCAGGTACATTAAATACCTGATATCTGATCCTGACTTCTACACTAAGGGCAGAAAACCTGTGAGTAATGTTGCAACTTTGTAAATCAGTTAAAGTCCACCCTGATGAACGTGTATCGGTGATCTGGGGGAAGACAGGCTCAGAAATGAAATACTTGTCTTCCACTGCAAGGAATGTAGTTTCAATTACTGGCAATAGTGCAGTACATTTATTTTTTTATTTTCTTGCTTGTTTCATACTTCATCAATTGAAACTTGTTGCTATGGCAATAATAATACAGCTCTCTTGGTGTTTTTGGTTTTTTTTTTTTTACATAGGTAAGACTGGGAAAACCTATCCACTGTTTTAATAATTGGATGTGTGCTTGCAATCACATTTTACATTATTTTGCATTATTTTTCTATAATTAATATAGATTATCTAAATGAGATTGTGTATTTAGCTAGGTGGTCTTAATTGGAAACCAAATCAAACATTTCTACCTGATGTCTTGGTAAGGATTAAAAAAACCCTAAAATATTATATGAACAATATTTTATAACACAGTGGTGTTATAAATGTATAGGTGCATGGTCTCATACATACAGTTGTACGTAATGTACATGAATTAAATCTACATGAATTAATAGTTTTAAAAAATAAAACTGCTTTGAGGTTTTAAGAGACTCTGGAAATGATGCTCATGACCATTTAAAGACCTCCTGCTAAAGGCCTTTAGTTTGTCAAGAAGAGGCTTCCCCCGACTCACAAAGTGTGTGAGCAGGAAGAATCTGGGCTCTGAGCAGCTCAGCTCTGCTGTGCAGGACAGGAGAGAAAAATGAACTGTTCCTGCAAGGTGTAAAATACCCTACTGCCTAAAATACCCCTGCTGGCTGCCTGTGATTTATTCATGGCAGGACAAGAGCAGCCCCATGCAGAGCGAAAGCAGCCGGCATGCAGAGAGGAGCTCTGGCAGAGGGCGTTTCCTTCCCTGCGTGCAGAGGTGGGTGTTTGCCAGAGCAGCCTCTCGGGAATTTGCCAGCAATACATGGCACTTCTTCATGCTCCAGCTTGCCAAGCAGCCCAGCATGGCCAAAGTCTGTTCAAGGTATGGATGGGCAGGAACAGGGGTGTTCCTTTCACTGTCAGCCTGCAGTGATTTTGGTTATCAGTGTGGTTAAACAGCAATAATTCAGGCAATAATGTGATTAACAGGCAAGTGGCTCAAGCAACTTCACAGAGGTGTTTCTTTCCTGAAGGAGAATGGAGGGTGGGGGATTTTTATATGACCAAAGGTTCTGAACAAATTGCAAATATAGTTCCTAGCAGGGAGGGAACCTTTTTTTTGCCCTGAAAGATAATGATTTGTATGTAGTAAACATTTATTGATACTTTTGTTGACTGGTTTGCTTTATCCCAGTTCTCAGTGCATCACCACTCTTGCCTTCCTGCAAGTAATTTTCTGTTATCACTCTTAAGTTTTTCTTTTTATGCACCTAAGAGGAGTCCAGCTTCTCCCAACCTCAAGAATTTAAAGCATGTTTGATTTTCTAAAAAAATAAATAAAATTATGAGCACAGCTATGGCCTTATGATAGCATACATTTATTTTAGGAAGATGTTGAACAAATAGAGATATTTTTAGAAAAGTTTTCCATAAACTTGTATCCAGGGAGTTTCAGCTGCATTACTGTGAAAATTTTTGGTGCTATTATTCTTCAAAAGCAGCAATGGCTGGGTGCCTTGAGGGATGATTATTAAAAAGTATTTGAAGGGTGGGAGATGAAATGGTTCAAGCATGAACTAGCAGAAGTAATTAACAGCTTTTAAACTTTCCAGTGAGAATTCTGGCTGCCTTCCAGGTGCAGTACAGTGACACTGATAGGGCTGCCCAGGGAGGTGCTGGGCTGCTGCTCTGATCACTGTCCTGTTTTCTGCAGGAGCTGCCAGCTGATGCTCCTCACTGTGACTGGGGAATGCAATTATGGTGCCAGAGGCACTGACACTGGGGTTGGCTCTGTAAGTGTTCTCAAGATGTTATTTTCCTCGGAAATCATTACAAATGTCAATTAGGTACTTGATCCAAGTGGTGTTTATTTTGCCCCTCCTGAAGGAGATGTATGTCAGAACAACAGAATTACCAACAGCTTTTTTTTTTTTTTTTAATAGATGCATCTTTACTGAAACTGATGTGTATCAGTGTTTACTCAGTCACTGCTTTGGTGGCAGTGACTTCTAAGAAAGGGACATTATGTAAACACCACCCAATTACTGTCATCTGAATTGACACTGTGTGAGTCAGCACTCAGGGGACAGCAAGTGAGAAACACAGCCCAGTGAAGTTAAAGCATTTTAAAGTAGGCATAAGAGAAGTAGTTCATTATATTTCCTGAGGCAGAAAGGCCACAATAATCAGCTTAATTTATCACACAGGAGTTGTCTCAGTCATCAGCAAAACACCTGCAGGCACTTGGCAGGCAGTGGGCTTGGAGAGAGGCTGCAGCCCCTTACACTTGGTATCTCATTTTAACTGAATTTTCATCAGCTCCCAGAATTTTTCAGGAACTACATCTTTGTATCTTTTATATCTTAGTTAACACACTTTATTAATCACTAGGAAATTCTGTAGTGGTTTTGAAGTACACCTTGTGGCCTCTTGTGGGCTGGTTGGCTCCTTCTGCATCTTTTTTTTTTTGCTCTGGAGGTATTTTTCCCCACTTCTTCTCAGTACTGAAGCTGTACTGAACATACAAAGACACTTGCACAGAATCCTTTCCCAGAGACCTTTGGAATGACTGCAAACGCTGGTGTTACCAAGGCTCAGTCAGGAACACAGCTGTTATTTGATGACATTCTTACACAGGCATGATGCAAAGTCACACACCACCTTACCCAGATTCTCTATGCATATCCATGTTCACCTTCCCTCCTGAGTTTTCACTGTACCTCCATTCTGGTGAAATTACTTTTCCACTCAAGAATGTTTTAAGGCTTTTTTTGGGGGGGATTCTATTTTTTTCTGTCTTCCTGGGGAAACATTTTGTGACTGTACAGTCAGTTTATAGATCTCCTACTTCCTCCAGCTTTTAACAGTTTTCAACCTGTGGCCAGTTCTAGTCCAGTTTGTAAGCCAGGTACAGTCTAGTGCCACCACAGTTCAGGCCAAAAAAAAAAAAAAAACTAAAAAAAAAGAGACACATCTGCAGGCAACTGAATTTTGTTAGTTCTAAGCTAGTAACTTCTACTGCAGGAAGAGAGGGAATTCTGCTGCTTTAGAGGAAGGCACCTGCAGCAATGCCACAGTGAATGAAACAAGAATAGTGAGGAGGGTTTACAGGTAGTAAACTCAGACATGCTCTGGGCAGACCATGTTTCTGAAGGATGGGAGTGAGAATTTCCCAGGATGGGCAGCTTTCTCCAGAAGAGGCTATGGACTTTTTCACTGAGCAGTCCAATGACTACAGGATCAGCCAGACAGTAACTTTCCAGGGAATCCCCCAATCCACTGTTCTTGTTTTCAGTATTGCTCCTACCTGACTGCCCTAGACATAAATGTAGGACAGAGCATTTATGTTGGTTTTTAATTGTTTAAGCAACCCTGTTATGCAAAGTATTTTGACACCTTCCTTTTCAGAATTTCTTTTAGGGGCTCGTAGTGATGTCTGCTGAACTGAAAGGAATACTAAAACACAAAAGTGATCAAACCTTAAGAAACTCAACAAAAATATCTGCTCCTTGAATTTTTTTTTTATTTTCTGAAGGCTCCTTATGTATAAGGAACATACATAAAATGAACACAACACTGTTGACAATGAACAAAACAGCATTTGATAATTTCCAGCTTTATAAAATTTTTTAAAAATGATTTAGTTATAACAAAAAAAACCAATAGCTCAGCAAGTTATCTTATTGGACCATTATCACATTTTAAACCATAGACTCAGTTGTTAATGGGGAGAGGAAAGAAAAAAATAATAAAAAAATAATCACACTGCATCTAGCAACTACAACATTTTCTAAGCATAATCACAGCGGATTGAGTGCAATGTGATTTACATCAGAATTCACATGGGATGTCACACAGTGACAGCATTGTAAAATATACAAGTAACATTTATGCCCTCCAACAAATACAAGTTAAATGAGACTCTGGATTCAAGCCAAATGGAATGTTGAAGCCAAGTAGAAATGTAGTGGAATTCAGATTGTCTGTAACTCAAAAGTGTACATTAGAATCATCTGGAATTCAATACTGGTGGAAATATAGAGAAGTCACAGCTGTTACACTGCTCTGTTACACTTGCAATAAATACTAGAAAATAAAAGTAAACAATCTATATTCCATGAAAAATACAGTACCTACCTTCAACGACCATGTTTTTCCCTTGTCTGAAGATGGTCTTGGAAGGAAGTTAACTATTTTCCTACAGAGGCAGTGTATTGAGCTATAACCACATTCCAACTAATACAACAGTAAATATACTACTGGAAATACAGAAATCTTCATTTGAAAAGAGTTAAGAGAAATAAATCTTAAAAAAATCATTTGACAAAACATCAGCTGCATAATGACCCCCTTATATTTCAGAATTAACAGAAAAGAAAAAATCTTAAGTCAGTCAGTTTAATACAAAAGAAACAGAGATTGTTTAAACTCAGATCTTCAGAAGGTATCCAGGAAGTTTTGTCTCATTGACTTAACATGGGCACTATGCAAAAATGTCATCCAGGAGTTTTACACTGCCAGAAATTCAGCAATCTGAAGCTAACAACAGTGTGTTTGCTAATTAGGGTTCTACACTAAATAGGTTTAAAGAGGAAAAAAGAAAACCTGAGTTCAGAACATCAAATGGCTGCGTGCCTGAACTCTGGGCTTTTGGCTTCTTCACTGAAGAAACTGCACCCTTCTTTGAAATGGACCCTTAATACTGTTTCCTGATACTGCATTAGGAACAAATACTGGCAACCAACTGATACCTTTAAAACACATGAGCTGCTCTCAGTAAAAGCTAAACTGACCAATGAAGCTTCTGAAGTAAAGGGCCACAGGAAACACAGGAACTTGAAATGGAATGCAGAGACCCACTGGCTCTCATTAAAGGCGTTAGGAGTAGTGTTTTTAGCAGCTACACTGGCACCAAGCAGACCGGAACTTTAAAACTTACGGCACACAGTCAAAGTACAGCTTTTACCTGGCATACACAGGAGAGAGACAAACTGGGTGTTTGGAAAAAAAGCTACTACCATGCTTAGGACTGGTACTACAGAATCAACTTGCACTCCCCACAAACTCACCATTTATTTTTTGTTAAGGGGATGGGTACAAGAAGAACTAACTCATGTCTGGCAATAAATGCCTGTCAGCACAATCTGATTTAGGACAGCTGGTCCCAGCAAGTTAAGGCCCAAATTTTCAGTCTATTCTTCTAAATGACACATACCATGGTTCTACCACATCTGCTTTTTAATAATCTAATTTAAATACCAAAATTGTAAAAAAATATCATAGAAATGAACTCCTTTATACTGGAAGTAGAAATCTTCTTACATATTCTTTACTGCCAGAAATGGCTGGTGTCACAATGTCTGATATCAAGGCATTGTAGGAACGGATTTGACGCGCTGTTACAGTATCGTAAATACCCTACCAGTACAACATACACAGAGCATAATTTAACCCTTGTGTCCAGCTGCAGCTACTAGCATCTTGCACCTTGGTTTAACATGAAGAGGAGAAAACAGTCCAAAATAATAATTTTAAAAAATGGAGAAATTCCCACATGGATTCTCTTGTTAAAAGAGTTTGCACAAATTCACAGCCACAATTCTTCAGTAGTTTATGCTGCAAGTGGCACACAATACATGTTTAGCATCTGTAAGAAAGAACCAGAAACAGCTCAATAACTCCAAGGTCAGGGATTTCCCCAAGCTAACACTAATTCTACTGCATTTTGCATTTTCCTACTAATATCAAGGAACAAACATCAAATAAATCTCAGCTGGGGAAAAACATCATCAAACTGACCCTGAACAGAAGTTACACTTCGCAGAGTACATGGCAACAGCCTGCCTTCTTACACAAGAGGTTTCAATGATGGAGTGCAGCTTAACACAGCTTCCAAGAATTTAAACAGTGTTTAGGCTTGGGGTTTCTTTTTAAAAATTTAAGCCAGCACAGTGGCTTCCAGCCATGTCCTGCTGTAAGACTGAATACTTCAAGTCACCACTACGCAGAAAAATCAGCACAGGATTAATACATATATATACAGAGGTGCACACACACACAAGTATATGTGTGCACATCTGTCTATATCTATACAGATCTATACACACACAGAGCTAGGAGCTACTCAAGACTCATGTGGCACTAAAAGTTTCCTTGGGTTCCTTGCACAGGTGTGAGTTTCAGCTGCAACATCTGGGTTCTGTCCAAGTGCACTAATGGAATGGTGTTTTCCCAAATGAGATCTTTTCCTGTACTTTTTCTTTCTTAAGCAAGCAGTGCTCCCTATACAGCACCCTGACCTTGGCCCTTATTTCTCAGATTTAGGGTTTCCTAAACGCTGCTCACTCAAGTTTAGGAGTTGTGTTGGGTAAGCTCATTGGATGGGATTAGAGAAAAGCAGAAGCTACTCTAGGCAGAAAGGAATCTCCTGTCCTCCTGTAAGCAGTGCAAGCACCACATGTCCTCTGAGCAGTGTGCACACAGCCACACAGTGCAGACTCAAAGCCAGACAGCAACAGATTGGAACCACAGTGATTACCAGCATCAGGTCAAAACTGGATGTCAAGCACTATTTTGTCTTCATAGAGGGCAATCACCAGCATGATGGCAAATCCAAGAAGCAGGCCTAGATTCTGAAGAATAAACTGCCCCACAGGACAGTAACCATGCTCTTCATTATCTCCATCTCCATGAAGCATTTCTGGAAGCTAAAAGATACAAAGCAATTTAGGAAGTTGTTTCACCTCTTTTCCATTTATACATGGACAAGTTTACAAGATGATATTGTCAAGGATAAACACTCCAGAGTTCAGATATAAAAGCAATATATTAAGACACAGCTTAAACTCTACCAAACAACTACACTCAATAAAAACATGATCACGTGATGTAGTTACAAAACAAACTAAAAAAGCCTTTCCTTCAACTTTCACCAGATCATCCAACTGAACATTAAGTTCCTCAAGACAGGGTACAGCCAATATTCTTCAAGTTCTGCTCTTTTAATTTGAAAAGAATTCAAGTCAGGCTCAAATAAACATATGACTTTGATTAACTTAGCCATTCATTTGTCATTTGAGACGCTTACACATATTCACATCCTTTTTAAATCTGGGAATGATAGCTACAAGCAATTAAAGAGAAATTTTTTGTACAAAAGAACTTATGAAAGTTCTAGACATTCTGAATATTGCTCACCTATGAGGAAAAGTCAAGTACTGACAAAATAAACTAAGAGTAGTGCTCTTGGAAATGTAAAAATAAAGTTTTGAGTTTTACAAAGCCATCCACATAGAAAAGAAGTAGAATATTTACAAGGAAATTAATTCAAGTAAACAGGAGGTACATGTTAAGATCTGGTTACTGAGAGATGCTTCTGCCTGAATTAAAGTGCAAATAAAACCATATGCCAAAGTCAAGAGTCAGGATTTTATTTAACAGCAAATATGAGGCAGAGAGAGAAAGAAGTAAGAAAGAGAGAGGAGGGAGAGGAGAAAGAAAGAAAGAAAGAAGGTGGGAGAAAGACATGATGGGAGATGGGAGAAAAAGCACAGAACATAGTCACCACTTATGGATCCAGCTAGTGTCCTCCTGGTCTTCCCCAAAGCCAGCCACTCAAAACTTGTCACCATGTACACATTTTAGCAAACAAAGGCTCAGTGCTCATTGGCTGTGCAGTTCTCTTATTCTAGGGGTTAAATTATTCCCTCACTTCCAATGCTAATTATCCCATCCCAGTCTCTCTTACTTTGAGTCGGGTGCCTCACAGGAGTGCTGGGCTGTGGCCTCCCCCTCCTGGGCCCAGCCAGAGCTCATTTTCAGCAGAGCTGCTCTGCCTTTGTATTCTTCTCCCCAGTGTTGTTTACTTCTCCTTAGGCCTGAGATAACTGGACAATAGTCCCACCTTAACCTTATCTTTAGTCAGGACTATACTCAGCAGAGTGGGATTCCATGGGGGCAGAGCAGTTGCTTCTTTGCAGTTTGCTACAGTGGGCAAAGTCCTTCGGTGATTTAACAGTGTTTGAGGCACTTGTGATCTTTAAGTCTCTTAAAATAATTCCTTCAAGGAGGGAATTCTTACAGGAATTCCTTCAAGACTCACTCAATACAGAAAATGATGATACAGAAGAAAAGGGATACTATTCCTCAAAACACAAAAAGCCTCCCCAATTTGTGTGAAAAATGTTTAAATGATTATCACATATACACTACACCAGGCAGCTCCACAGCAAGCACTACTCTAAATTACAAAGTGCTGTTAAGTCATAAAGAATAAAGGGCTTCACCTTAGCATTACTGTAATGGGCTTTAACACTCTGGATGTTTACTTTGGCAGCACATCCAAAGATGACTAAACGTTTTGCTTTATTGCTAATAAAAGCTGATGTGACCAATTTCAGGGACCATATAAAGAATGCTCCTGTCAATTAAAAAACCCCCATTCTTTTGAAGGCGAAAGCTCATGGTGTCACTACTAGAGATAAAAGGAACAAAAACCGCAGCAGATAAATTTGTTTCCCAGTAAGATGAAATTATTCTAGTTGGACTATTCAATGTACCCATTCAAAACAGGAGTGTCAGGAAGGAGGATATTATGATTACTCTTATAAGTCATCACCAAATGAAATTTCATGAAAGAACATGGAAAACCTGGAGGACTTTGAAACGCCTGAGTTTAGATGAAAGGCCTGGGTAGGAATATCCTTATAATTGAAACCCATGTAGTTACACAAACTTCAGGGCAGTCAAATGCAAAAATACCAAAAGGCTCATTCTCAATGGGCTGGTATAAGGAATGGACGGAAAACTGCACCTCTGTGAACCTCTGCTCACAGCCAGGGAGGAATCAAAATCTAATCTTGTTGTGTTCCAGGTAAAGAGGTCTTTGAGAAGGAGGCTGATTATGCAGACACCAAGACAAAACTGGTTCAGTTTCAAGTGTCTCTTGCAGAAACTTTCCTGCTGTTGTTGAGTCAGGCCATGGGACTTTGACTATTTGGTTACTACTATGATGGCCAAGGGAAAGAAAAAGGAATGAAGGAATGAAAATACTGTCTTCCTTTCCTTTATCCATGACATCTTCAGTCAAAGAACAGGAAATAAGTATCAGACACAGAGCTTACAAGGAAGTGATATTTCAGGCATTATAAGCTACTATGGAACACCTGAAGGTGCAAGAAGGATCACTCTACCCAGACATTCTATTTAACAATTTAGCAGGTCCTGAAAAGGACTTATTCACCTATTACTAGATTAGAGTGACTTTATAACAACAGTATATTTACAAATTAAAGTCTCTATAATGAAGTGGAGAGCATTACAAAGTACCCCAAAAGTGAAAAATTATCTCATCACCTTTGGGCTGGTAAAGATGAGAAGTGAGAAAATTGCCTCATTTAAATGAAGCTCTGAAGCAGCTTAGAGGAAAGAAATCAGGACTGAATATGTGCTGGTAACATGTGCACAGCAGCACTGCTGCCTGAAGGCTCTGCTCTATGGTGTACACACACTTAGGTTAATGCACCTGTGTGTTCTTGAAGCAGCAGCATTTTTCCACCAGGTAATTTTTTTAAAAGCTACTCACCACAACAGCTCTGGATTACCAGCTGCTCATAGTAAAGTTCAGACTGAACTTTCCAGAACGGAATACATGACGATGAAGTCTCAGTGAAGAATAAACCTGAACAGCAGACTGAAGTGCAGCACCCCCAGAAGGCCCAGCTTCCCTCCCAGAAGGCCCCAGAGGCGCAGCCCCACCCAGCAGCCGTACCATGTCGACCAGGGCCACGTAGAGGAACATGCCGGCGGTGACGGCGAAGATCCAGAGGGTGATGTTGTTGGCATACTGCCCCACGGCCGTGCCGATCAGCATCCCGATGTAGGCCATCATGGCTGACAGCAGGTTGTACACGATGGCCTGCTTCACTGTCATCCCTGCCTTCAGCAGCACCGCAAAGTCACCTGTGGGGACAACACGGGCTGGGCGTCAGCGCGCCCGAGCGGCCGGAGAAAGCCCTCAGCAGGGAGCAGGCTGAGCCACAGGAACTGACCACCTCCAGGAACTGTGCATAGGCACAGCCATGCCTTGAGTAAGATGTGATTTAAAGGTGCCTGTTCGTGTTGCTGATTGTCAAAAAGGCAGCAGTGATTAATTGTGAAGGGTGAGTGGAGGAGTCTAGGTCTGCTCTTCCCACAGAGAACACACCTGTGTGCACACACTCATCTTTCTCAGAAGTTCTCCACAGCACATAAAACCAGAGGCTTAGGATCAATACCTGTGAGAATTCCTCTTAGCTATACACACCTCATTATGCAAATCCAGGAAGAGGATAATGAGGCATTTGTCCCCACAGATGACAATGAATTTGAGCACTAGGAAGTTCACATTCACAAAGAATGACTTCAGATCCACCCTGAATCAGTTTTCTGAGTAAAGGCATGCCAGGGTAATGTGTTTCATTCTGAATTCAGGACAGCTCTACTAAATTAGGTGCTAAAAGTAGATATTCTATAAAAATTTAGACTTCAGTCTTGTAATCAGCTCTAACAGTTTTACTTCATTCAAACTGAACTCTTGTGATCTTGAGAAGTGTAAGGTGATGTACAGACATCAGGGCAATTAAAGTAATATTCTTATGTAATGTTCTTATACCCATGCCTGAAATTATTTTCCTAATCTAGAATCAAAAATTAGAATCATAACTATATCAAAATTTAAGGAAAAATAAAAAAAAATATATATGACTCACCCCTTATACAAGGGGTGAGTCATATATATACATCATTTCATCATGCTAAGCTGTCAAGTTCCAAGCATTGTAATATACATTGCAATCCTGTATCTATTGCAGCAGCTTCACTTAACTTAATGGTTGTATAGCACAGGTCAAACCACAAACACCTGCTCTATTATTTCCCCACTATGCCTCTGATTTACCTATAGCTCAGGAGATGCCCATATAAAATGCTTTCCCTCATCACCTCTAAGGTTTTTGCAGTGCCTGTTTTACTTCACTTTTGATCATTCAGACCCAGCAGCTCTTCAAGTGAGCAAGCTGTGAGTACAGAGAGAGGTCAGTCTAGCACAACTTCACATCAGTGTGGAAAACCAGAAAATTCCTCCTCTCTCTGGCTGCTCTTTTTAAACTCTCAGGGTGCAGGACATTTTCATGCAATGTGAAAACAACAGGTTTCATCATGGTTAGCTACCTCCAGAAGAAATGCTTCAATTAGTGGGGGAAGAATCAATAACACTGGCAATAGTGCCTACAGGCTTACCCTAAATGGCCACACCTGCTGAACTCGGCCACAGTTGGAACAAAGCCTCTTCTGAAGATCCCCACATGGAATTTTACTTATGTAAACCTGTGTTTGCTCATGTGACTTAACTTTGTGTAAGATAATGCCACACAGAGTACTGTGGAACTTTATAAAATGCAGAGCTATGTAAAATGTGTGCTCCTAAGAATATTTTAAAAACATACTCAAAAAGCTTTACAGAAGTGCTGTAGCTAGACACTACCCACATAATCCTGTAGCAGTACCTTCTCTGAAGCAATATTTTTCCCTCACCCTCTGAAGTTCTGGTCACCTCTGCAGCTTCTGCACTGCATTGTGCTTACCACAGTATTACAACAGCTTTTATATAAGGATTTTGTACAGATGGAGCACAGTTTCTACACTTAGTTACCTAATTCATGGGGAAGCTCGTGACAAAATACTGCTATAGATGTACTAATTCCCCCTGTCAGTCCAGCACTAAAAGCTGCTCCTAGAAAAAAAAAAAGGAAAAAAAAATTAAAATTATATTTCACTATTTTCAGGTCAGAAAAATTAATAGACTTTGCAGAGCTGACATCCTTCTGTTAGAATGCACACTACTATTTTTCAGTATGTTTGTGCCCTGTCTCTATATAAATGGGAAATACTGGAAGCACCCTGGCTGGATGTGCATTACCACTGCAGGCTTTTATTACTCATTTATCTGAAAAACAAACCCTGGAGAGGAGAACACAGCTGGCCAAAAATGAGACATAAAGACAACCAGCTAATAAATAACACCACTTTTAGGAACTCTCAAGTACACAAGGGCAGTTAGGAATGTACATGAGCAAGAGTCTGGCTCTATCTTTCCAGCCTGGAAATCCAAGCTAATATTTAAACCATAACCTCTCTAGCTCCTTTCTACTTATTTTTAGAAAAAATATGAGCAATATTAGTAAGCCAGATCTGGAAAATAATATGGGTAAAAACATTGCCATAAATATCTTTCAGTACTTTTGCATAAGCTAATTGAATTCAATCAACTTTAAGTTCATACCTTAAATAATTCTGAGATGAGAAAACTGGCATTAAATTTCTGTACTGTAGCAGAGAAAAGCACAAAAAGAGCCTGCAGTGAGCAGTCTAAACAGGCAGCATAAAGCAGAAAGAGAAGACACAATCTAAAGACACAGGAGGAATTTATTTCCTCTGGATTCCTCATAGCTTGATATATTAAAAAGATGGGCATGTTTTTCTAAAATCTGCAATTACACAGATTCATCTGTTTGGGCTTGACCCAGGAACATTTAGAAATGGAGTTTCAATACTGTGAAGTGCTCAACAGAAGGCGTAGCAATTGTTTTTGGCATTAGAAGCCATTGAGTAAATGTCTTACCTGTTTTATGTGAAAATGAAGCAACAAGTTATTTTTTAAGGAGTTTAGTTTCTTTGGAAATTGTCAGAAGGAAGTGGAGAAACTGTAGTAGATTCCATTGTCAATTACAGACCCTGACAAATGCTTATCCCCCATCCTTCAAAATGGGTGTGTCCCTTGTGCCATTAGTTCAGAACTCTGCCTACCCTTGCTCTTGAGCAGCTACCTTAGTCATGAATCAAAACGTGCACTTCAGGCCCCTCACCATCACCCTGACTTGTACATCCAAATTAATACACTTTACAATTCAAATCACATTTAGAACATTGTGTGACTCCAAGTTGATTTAATAAATCTAATAAAATCTCTTTGGTACTTCAATTTTTTTTCTGCACTTGGCTAGAAATAAATCTATACGGACCGTGAGCTGAAATAATATTTTGCTTAAATTAAAACTAAATTATCCTAAGTAATACTTTTAAAATATGATTTCTGTAACCTGGCTCACAGTGTATTTTTATTTGCAAGTACTGTATAATTCTATGTATTAACAATACTAGAAATAGTATTACTATTATTGTTAGTAAATATCATTCTAAATAAGACTGAAAGGCATTTATTTATAATTCTAAGGCAACTGAGACCCAAACAAGAAAGGTGGGTTACTGTGCTCCATAAATCCCAAGGTCTGTCTGCACCAATCTCTCCTTGGCAAAGACTGATTGTCACTGCTACTGGTACACTAATTTTAGTGCAAATAGCACAGAATATTAACAAAAGGGAAATTATTGCAATTGACAGGCTTTTTATTTCTGCTCTGCAGGAGACTGAACAATGGCAGTAACCACAGGTGCTAACTGGAAGCCTTACCTGTGATCACTACTAAGTAAAATATTAGCAGAGTTACTAAAGGTAAGGAGAAACTGTTGAGAAACACTCAGTGCTTTTGCTTACCGATTGCTAAGCCATCACTAAAGTTGTGAATGCCATCTCCCATAATTACCATCCAAGCAATATTAGCTATCCCAGTATCTTTCAGGTCTTTTCCAGAATGACAGTGGCCATGGGAATGATGGGAATGTTTGTGATGCCAGTGGTGACTGTGTTTTCTAGCTATCATTTTATCTTCGCCATGGCTGTCATACTCGGAATCGTGCAGCTCGTGCTCTTGGGCGGCGTGGGAGACGTCGTTGTGAGAGTGCCGCAGGTTGTTCTCCTCTTCTGCAGACAGGTAGTTTTTGGCAGGGGGCTCCAGCTGCCCATCCAAGTCAGTCAGTTCAGTTTCATTCAGGCGATCTTCAGACAAAACTGAGTCGTCTGCTCCTGCATCCCATCAGTTGGGAGAGACACTGAGTTAATTCCTGTTTAACCCTTGACCTAAGGGTTAACTGCTTTGGGAAAGCAAAACAAGTATTTTAACACATCCCAGTCTAGCAAGTTTGTTGCTAGCATCCAATCCAAAAACTAAGTCTGTCATTGAGACATTTTTTCACAAATGTGCATGTACAATATATAAAAGTCTCCACTGCAAGGCAGCAGCACTGCATCCACAGCACTCAAAGCCAGTTTTAGCCCAGCCTACGCTCGTGCCTGTAATTTTGCTACTGACAAAGTTTATGGTTCAACACTGGCAAAGGAGAGTTGCCAATATGGTGATAATGTCTTAGGGCTGTAGATGGGATCTGATTGGTTTAAGGAAACCCTACCTGGCTCTGCCTGCACATGCCCCTACAAGTCACAGCTCAGCCTCCACTGTCATGCAGACATTTCAAATATATGCTCCAACCCCTGCACTGCTGAAAAAAAAACTTTCCATGTTCTGTGTCAGTGCCCCAGTTCCCTCATGAGATTTTTGCGTGGAGAAAGGTGCAATCCTAACCCTCTCTTCTACAAACCAATCAAATTAAATAAACCTAATTTGTGCAAATACAAATTTGTATAGGTTCTTCATCAACAAATTAATTCTGCAGCCATGCAGGCAACAGAATTGGAAGGTTATGGAGCAAAGCCTTTGCCCTTCTCTCCTACTGTGGAGAAGGGGGATAAAGCATTTATTCTGGGTACACACAGGGTGAGCATCCACAGGCTGTCATGAAGGAACAGTGTGCAGAAGTTGTTTTGGATACTTGAGGAGTATTCAGGATACTCAGTTGTATTTATGGAAAGAAACAGATTTTGTTTATCTGTAACTGGTCAGATGCTGGGATCTTCAAAGTGGAAGGTATCCCCATTCATTGTGTGGGTGTTCATTTTTGATCTTATTTTTGCCAGGGCTGAGCTAGTCAGGAATAGCTTAACCAAAACATCCAAACACCCTGAAAACAAACAAACAAACAAACTCCCAAAGACCCACAGCCACCCAAAACATGACTGCTTCAGAAGTCTGAGAACCATCTCTATGGCATATTAGGAAATGTTCAGAGTGCTCTCTGATCTAAAGAAAACAAAATAAAAAAGATTTAATAGGGAAAAGCCTATTAAGTCTTATTAACAATGATTTGCATAATAGCAGCAAAACTGTACAAGAGGTTACATGCTACACACCATGCCCCAGTAACTGCTCCTGCTTCGGATCTCACAGTCAGAGAATTCTGACAGTAACTGCCTACCTGCAAGGGGTTTCAGCTGAAGCCAGTCAGCATCTGGTCTGTTATTTAATTTGTGATCAGAAAGTTTCCTTCCAATTGGTGATTCTTCAGTCTGGGGTTTTTTGCACCATTTCTGCTTACTCTGCAACAGAAAACAGGTAATGTCTGGTTTGTGACAGGACATTGATGGAAATAACAGGAACTGAAATGCTGTCCAAAAATCTCTCCTAAACAGACCAAGCTACTCTCTCTTACCATGTATGACAGAAATATGTCACTTCAAAATATTGACCTTTATAAGGCTCAGCAACAATCCCTTTCCAGCAGGAGTTCTTAGCTACTTACCATGGAATCTCACTCTCAAACACTTACACAGAGATGTATTTCACTTTAATAAGAGGGGATATTCTGACAAGGATTGCTCTCATAGCCCAGAAATACTTCCATGCAGCTATTAGATTTGTTCAAGAAAGCAAATTTGCAGCAAGAACAGCTCCTCTAATTTGTTGAATTTTATTTTTTTGTTTTATATTTTTGTAACGTCCTGGTACTTCCCTTTAAGAATGCAGCAATCTTTTCTCTATCTGCAGCCCATACAGCAGATCCCAAGGATTTGCCAAAGCAGCCATGGGGATTTAATTATTTAATTAATCTCAAAGATTATATGCACAGTGTAACAGTTTTCATCCTTTTATCAGAAGATCTAGGAAATGCCTCCTCCAACAAAGAAAATCTTTTGCTGCCTGTCCAGCTCAGACAGCAAGTCTGACATGAAAACAGAGAAGCTGAAAAGTTTTCACAGTAATTTTGGGAAAAACAAGTTGGAATTTCACCAAAATAATTTTCTCCTCAAAGCTGAAAGACAAAGGCAAAGGCTAAAACTGAATTTCCATCCACATTCACACTCCCCAGGGTACTTGCTCTCCTTTTATACCCTATCATAAATACAGAGCGCTCCCAGCACTAAAAATGCAATCATTTTTTGAGAAACAAGTTAAAATTTGACTGGCAATTTACAGAAAGCAGGAGATCTGAAAATTTTAGCATTCTTCTGATGTGGAAAACCTGGACACCTCTGTTACACTGGCATTGTCAGGTAAGAGCATACTGCTAAGTTTCTTATCAATTGTCTGACAATTGTTGGCTCTCTAACCAGATCTTTCTTACATAATGCTTTCTCCTGTTTTTGCAAAAAAACCCCAGGAAGCTTTAGATGCAGCTTCCTCCATCAGATGTCTACACTGTTTTCCCAAGTTACCTTTTGAGAAAATCAACTTCTTTAGGAAGGGGATCCCCCACATAACATCAGGCAGAATACAGAGCAGCAGCAGCAGCAGCACTTGTTCACAGGGCAAACACAATTCCTCAGCGCTCACAAGGTACCTTTAGGGAACACATTTTTTTAACAGCAAACAATTTCATCACCTACCTTTTGTTTATTGTAATGTTTGTACATTCTTATGCAGTGCTCAATGATGAAGAGAACATAAATGCCTCCAAGTGCCAAGAGCCCTTTGAGCACGGGATCGTTCTCCTGCAGGAAGCTCTCGGCGTGCGCCGCGTGCGCGTGGCCGTGCCGGTGCGAGTGCCTGTGCTCGTGCACGTGGCCTTGGCCATGGTGGTGGCTGTGGTTGTGGCCTCCATGGGACTGTGGGAGAGACAACAGTGACACCATGGCACTGAAGTGGCACTGGGCCAGAAGAAACAACAGAAACCCCCACCCTTTTTTGCTTTTTCTTCACACTCACACATTTTGCCACGTACATTTTTCAAAAGATTATTCATTACCCTAATCAGTAAATAAATTCCTCTGGGGATTTTTTTTTGTTTTGTTTTGAGGGTGTAGATAATGTAGCTTCAGCTTTTCTCTCATGATGCTGAAAATGAGACTAACATTCAGAAATAGCACAAGGAATTACCATTCTTATTCTCTCATTACCAACCAAGCCTAATGACTTTTTAAACTATTACAGTCAATTATACCCTAAATTCTGATCTAAAAGATGAACTTAAACTGTAAAACCACAACCAAAAATGGGTATTAGAATTATACAAAGAAACCATGTAAATATTAGTCTTTGTGATAAACAACTGAGGTAAAATCATTTTAGAAAACATTTCCCCTTTTAAGAATTACAGAGCACCATCATGAATTAAAAGCTGCTCACCTTGCTTGGCCAATTGCTTGATTCAGTACACAATACCTTCTCCCTCAAATATAGCAACCAGGCAGGTTAATCCCCAGAAAATACTTTTAGGTACTGATACACAACTATCAGTAAACAAGAGACAGCAATACTGCTAATTTACAAATACTCTTGCTGGGCTCCTGAGTGTTTTACAATAGCATGACATCAGTTCAACAATGAATATGCAACTAGTTTTCCCCACCACCTTTTGTTTAGAGAAACACATTTCCTTCCTTTCTGTCAGCTGAAAGTCTCCAAAAGTGTTGGTGTTCCTCACAGTCAAGTCAATCTCCAGGTGCATCAGTGAGCCTTTCTTTATGGACACTATCAAACAATTCCTCGAAAATTCTAGACTCGTTTACAATTAAGAATAAAAGGTGAGGAGACCATACTTACATGTGGCAAGAGATGGAGCAGTGCATCTCCACTCATTGTTCCTACAGCCAGAGCTACCAAGAAAGTTAGAAGAAATTTGAAGCACCATTGGTTAATGATGGGAACCAAGATCACACCTAGCAAGGAAAGCAGGCTAATGACGGTGATAGAGATGATACCACAAAACCAGGCTGTGGGAAAAAATGAACACAGAAAGGTTATCAGAACAACACCTGGAAAACGTTTAAGCCTGATTAATGACTTTCAATTATGTCTTAAGAAGGTGACTTTCCTTTAACCTAAGTAGTGATTGTTCATTGAAAAGGTGCTGAAAAATACGAAGGCAGTACTGAAGTCCCCAGCAAACCAGAAATACACAGGCTTATTCACAGCACAGTATAATATAGTGAGACATCAGAAGACAGCTAGCTATAAAGAGCCCAGCAATTCTTCCTGATTGTTAGTTCCAGGCTTAGCTTTGTAGCCCTTCATGAAAGAAAAAGCAAAAAGTTTCATACTGGGACAAAACCATCTCTGCTACTTAACTTGCAAGAGCTCTACAAGCACTAATGTGTATGTAACAGTTGTTTTTAATATGATTCTGATGCAAAATTTTCCTGGATTCTGTATTTCTCCCTGTTTGGAGTCACATGTTTAATTTGGCACTATTTATTTCACTTGGTGCTTTGAAACATACACCTTTATTCATGAGAAGATACAACCTTTGGCAGAGGAACTCTAAAATCAAATGCTACCATAAGAGCTTGAAAAGCTGAAAGCAACTTGCTACCACCAAATAGCAGCATTTATTTTTTCTGAGAATCTTTACTGTTGCCATAGAGGAAGTGATAATGGGATGTGGTATACCCAACATATTCCTGTTAATGAGGGAAGATGTGAACATTTGTACATGACATTGAAAAGGAGGAATTACAGAAGATACAGATCCTATAAACAAAGAGACACAGCTCTTTCAGTCAGCATTTCACTCTAATGAAGTATTTTCTTTAAGTTTTAGTACAAAGGCTTTGATTTTCTTCCACACGGTTTTTCCTAGCTCCACTTTTAATCAAAGATGTTTGTCTACCACATTTTGCCAACTTTAAGGTAAGCTACAACTCCTGACTCAGAATCCCTAACATTTCCACATTTCAGAGAATAATCTCACTTTCCTTGCATCTGTGAGGGTCCAGAAGTAGGGGAAAACATCCTGGAAAATGGGGCAGGGCATGTGTGAGAGGAGAAGAAAAGAGGAACAAATGTGTTGTAGCTGCTCAGTGTCAACATGAGGGTGAAACACCCCAAGAATTCTGTCTGTACCAAACCCACATGGAGCAGATTGATATGACTTTGTCAGCAGAAGTGTGGCTGCTGCAGGCTTGGTCTGCTTCAACACCAAAGCTCACATCTGTTGCTTTAAATTTTATTTTGGTGGGATATTGATTCTTACTAAGTCTGTGGCTGTCATTCCACAACAATGTATAAAAGGAAAAAGTCCAGCTGCAATGCAAGGGGTACCAGACCACATCCACTGGGAGACAATGACTGGAAAAAGCTTTAGCCAGTATGAGGTGTGCACTGACAGACCTGAGTACTGAGACCATAGCAAAAAAGAGTTGGTGGTAAGTCAAAGTCTGCTGTCAGATGGAACTGAAAAACTGAGGTTGGAAAGCAGGAATACAAAAGTAAGTCTAAAGCTGAAGCAGGACCACGATGACCAAAATACTGCCCCAGGTCCCCAGACTGATCCCCAGAGCACTTCAGCCATGTACCCTGGACCAGCAGGCAGTGCTGAAAACCCAGCATACATGGAGCTGTCCCTCAATGTTCTATCAATCACACATGCAGAAGCAGCCAGATAAAAATGACACAGCCTTTGGGCAGGACGCTGCCCCAAGGTGGACACACTCTGGTGTTCAGTGCCAGGGTAGATGATAAACAGCCTTACATGGAGAAAAGTGGAAAGGCTCAAGTTTCATCTATCACAGCAGGTTTGGCAGATACACCTCTGAGGGGCTGGAATACTCCTGTAGATGATACAGGACCTAAACGTGACATCATGATTAAGATAAGGCGCATGGGATTAGAATATGGAATCTGTGCCCCTCTCGGATCGAGCCCCAGGGAGCACTGGCATCTGCACAGGCAGAATTACAGCTTGTATCTGATCTGAGACACTTCTCATCAACAGCTCTAAGCCATCTCCAGCTTTAAACAAAATGCTCCCTGTTTACTTCTGTGACTTCTACTACTTCTACTTCATTCAGCAGCAGGGTGTGCCTTTCCTTTTCAGTTGTTTAGGGCCCTCAGTGGTGACAGTGCTCCCCTTCCAGGAGGTACACTGTGAAAGCTCAGTTCTATGGATAAGCCCTTGAAAATCCTCCATTAGAAAATGTCACAGAACTATCTGCAAATTACAGGAAGAAAACCCAACACGGCTTTATAAGTTTTTTAAATTAAGTAAATTATCTTGCTTTAGAAAACCAGTTAGCAGAGGTAATGGAAACCTCACAGGTTGGTATCAATGAACAGAAGCAACACTGGCCTGTTAAGACTGATTGAAAGCTTTGACTAAAACTAAAGTAAATCACAGAAAGCTTATGTTTAAAAGTGACTACATCCTCCTAACTCTGCTGAATACTTCTATTTAAAAATGTTTATATTACCTTAGGTGAGCACATGCTTTCATTTCAGTACAGACCTACAATGTATAGGTTACGTTACTCTGTGGCTGACATTTGCCCTACACCTCCCACAATCCCACATTCCAATAAGGACTTGTTATTTCTTATTCACTTCCTTACATAACACTGAACAATTATTATTATATCAACTGAAATCTTGCTGTAATTAATACAAGAGAATACAGGAAATTGTTATGAAGATTGATTTATCATTATCTAATCAAGCTGACTTGTTCTGCAGGTTACTGTTTGAGAGCCAAATCAATGAGTTAGCACCCAGATTTTTACACTAACTGGCAAAGGTGTTATTTATATTCAAGGTATCAGATGCCATAAAACATGTTAAATGTTCACAATAAGCTTCACTAATTTTGCAGATTAAGTCTCTTAAAACATTAAAGGTCTTCAAGCTGAGTTATTAATGAACTCCCTTTCTCATTACAGAAAAATAAAATGCAATCTTTTAAAAAGAAGCACTCATCTGTAGAAGCTTCCTAATTAAACTGGTCCAGAGCATGTGCAATGTGACAGTTTTGTACAGGGTTTCAACATTTTAATTGGCAGAAAATGCTTAGAGTTGCTCTAGCAATGCTCTTGGTAATAAGGCAGGGGTCAGCTCTTACTACACAGACCACACCACAAAGTAATTTGCTGTCGTACAAAACACCCACTGTATCTGCTCTACAGCAATCTCTGAGCAGCTAACAAGACAGCAGATGTGCCACTAGAGGAGATTTATCTATAAGAAGTTAATTATTTTAATGACTCTGCAATTGCTAAGAAAGATTACCAGCAATGCATTCTTCCCAACAGTTATTAACATTTATGAGAATGCAGTTATTTCCAGATTTATTTCTAATAATGCTAATATGCACCTATGTACTAATCAATCCTCACATTACCAATATTTTCATTTTCAAAACACATTCATTATATCCAAGATTTTTTAGATTTTTAGTATTTTAATACAACTAAACATCAACAGTTTCATTAAAATTTATGCAAGATAGCAGTGGCAAACATGTATTTGAAAAGTACATTCAGTTATGAAATAACAACAATGGATTCTACCCTTAAAGTAACTGCTTTAACAGTAGTAAAAATATTTTAGAACTATGGTGATGAGATAAGAAGTCTACTCAGTTTTACTCAAGGTACACACAGGTACACACAAAAAAATTAAAACTGGCAACAGAGGATTTTGGTGGAACACTTCTCATGTGCTTAGAGAAATAGTCAGAAAAGGGAAGTATCAGAAATGACAATTTAAATGCTCTTGTACTTGCTTATGCCTATTTTTTAAGTTCACAAAAAATTATGCATGTAAATTCTACACACCTGTATCACTGCTAAAATATAAAAATAGTAAGACCTAAAATCTTATTTTCCGGTGAATGAACTGTGATCATAGTGTTGTTCTCTATTCCTGAATTAGCACCTCCAGGTCAAATTTATTAAGAAATTTAATGCCAAAGTAACACTGCAACTTTCCAACTTTGAGATAAACATAAGCACCACCTCAGTCCCACTAAGAAAAAAAGACACCTACCTGATGCACCTGTTTTATCTTTATTCTCAACTGATGCATTTTTATTTCTTGTAAAATCTTCCAGCTCATCATAATGTAGAATACAAAGCCTTCTCTCAATCTGGTAGAGCAAAGCAGGACACATGTACACGAAGAGCTCAGGAGATATTAGAGAGCTGGCTTCCAGACCATAGTACCGTAGCAGCTGGGTAGCATTCAAGCACTGCAAGCAAATTGTACAAACAAATTAAATAAAAAAGCATCTATTTTCATGTATGGAAAATGCAGGATATTATTTGAGAACACAAACAAAGCAGAAACTTTGGTCCAAATGTTCCACCAGTGCTAAAACATGACTTAAACTGATCTAAGTGGTTTATGAAAGCAAGAAACAATAACAACATCTGCACCAAACACTCCAGACCCCCAACACCTGCATAACTTTTGATAAATTTCAATGAAAAGCAGTTTCCATATTTTTTACACAGTGCAAGCAATGGAGAAAAAGCAACAGGTGAAGAGTGGAAAAATGTAAATCCAAAATAGGTTTTTCAACACTTCTGTTTACCTACCAACCTTTTGTGTTTTGAGTTTCACTTTTTAGTAGAGTTTGAAACCTTGAACTTGGCACTCCCTCCATCCTTCTAGTTTAAAATTATGACTTTACAAGGTCCTGCATCTGTAGTTAACTGTAAGGGGAAGGGATTTATGGTGTTGGCAGAACTAATGGATGTTGAAAGACAAAACAGAAGAGCTTCTACTGACCACAGTGCTGCTGAAGCAACACCAGCAATTGCTTTTAATCTCCAAGGACAAAGATAACAGAAGTGTGCTGAAAAGATGCAGGTATTTTAGGGAAGTGTCTGTGCAGTTTCCAAAAATGTTAGTGATCTCAGATTCAGAAAGAAGTCCAAAAAAGGTGTGCGGTGGCAGTATTCTGGAATACTGGGAAGGGAAAACCTCCCCTGTAAGCAGGGTAGCTCAGAAAGCTTTACAGATCAAATTCATACACTGTGTTACACTATGCTCCCAAACATGCCTCTCTGTTATTTGTGGGTATGCACCTTCAGTTATTATGTGACGGCACTGAAAGTCACTTACCAGCTCTGCATTTCACACTCACCTCTTCATGCTTGTGCTCATCTTCACTGTGATCCTTGCGACCGCGTGCCGCAGGAAGCGCGTGTTTCCTCACGCTGATCTGCTTGTGCGAGGCCTCTCGCTTGCTGGTGTGGCGGTGCCCGCTGGCACTGCCCAAGCTGCCATCCTGGTGGCCGTGGCCGGCAGAGCGGTCACCGCTGTGCTCGTGGTGGTGCACGTGCAAGTGAGAGGCATCGTGGACATGGTCGTGTTTGTGAACGCGGTTGTGCTCGTACTGATCGCCGGGATCGTGCTCCGGGGCGTAATCCCACGTGGCGTCTCCCGACGTCTCGCTGATCTTCTTCTGCTTCTTCTTCTGCTTGCGCTGTTTCCGTTCCGGCTGCTCCTGGGTGGTGTTTGTCTCGGTGGCAGGCTCGTGGCTCTGCTCCGCGGGGTCGCCGTGGCTGACGGAATCGTTGCGCGAGTGCCGCGTGCCGTTGTGCTCGTGCCGGTGCGGGCGCGAGTGGTGGTGGTGGTGGTGGCGGCGGCTCTGGTTGTGAACGTGTTTGCCGTCCTCCTTCACCGAGGGCACCGCCGTGTCTCTCTCAGTGTCACATTTATGATTTCTCTTTGCAGACACACCAACCGTGGTCTGGTTTTCTGAATCTGAGTGGCTGTGAGCATGGTTATGAGGATGAAAATGCTTTCCTTCCTGTACTTCCAAAGCATACAAGTGAGAAACATGATCATGGCCAATATCATCATGATTTATCATCACTACTTTTACCTCTCCCAAACCAAGGCTTATTAACAGTTTTTCCAGGCCAAAAAAAGATAATCTTCCATTTTCACCATAGCGATCAAAAATCTTTTCAATGTAGTATTTTTGTTCATTTTCTGCTTCCAACGTTGAAAATTTACTGGGCATAGATTCTGTTCCTCCATTCTGGAAGTATGATTCATTTGAGATCTGATAGTCATTATGGTCGTGTACACGATCCTTTTTGGGACCATTGTTGTGTCCATCTCCATGGCAATGATTGCACTGATGAAAAATAAATGTCAGCAAACAAATGATGCAAAATTTTGTGTGCATGTGTACCTTCATCTCTGTTTCCTACAAGAAACACAAAGGGAAGCACTGAGCTGTAAAGCAATCTCAATGTCAGTTTATATGACATATCAGTTTGGTACTTATGCCAACTGAATCATCCACAAAGCTTTTTAGATATTGGCAATAAAAGAATAGCAATTGCAGATCTTTTACTGCAGAAATTGTAATAATGTACTTTTCTTATCCAACAGTAAGACAGACTGTGTATTTTAGCGATGTGGTTTTACAAACCATACTTACAGGAGGCAATGATAAGAAAAAGATTAACAACATTTACAGTCAGTCATATCAGAATATTTTTGTGCATATTTTCAGAGGCATCTATACTTATGATAACCTATAATATTGAAAATCTTGATAAAACACAAGGTACAAAACAATGAAAATTAACTTAAAATAACAATGCTGTATTTTCCTGTTCACAGGGGTGACAGGCAGGTAGTACAGCTGAAAACCCACACACCATTTATTCTCTTTTGTGCTGCTCAAGTGCCTCCACTAAACACATAGTGCACAATTCCCTATTTTGAAATCACCCATTATCAATGTACAAATAAGTTGTCATCAACTAACTTCAATATATCACTTAAATGTTCATATTTTTAGTAATTTTCACTTACATCCACAAATATCTGTGTGGACATCCATTTAAAAGTAGGGTTATATGGAAAACACCTGCTTAGGCAACTAAAAAAATACTGTTAATGCTGACAACTGTTGAGCCAAAAGCAGTTAGTGCTGGTTTTTAGAAATTATATCATTGAGACAACGTGGCTTTCAATTCTGTTACATGTAAAAAACTTGCAAGTCACCATTTTACACTGCAGCAAATGCAAGGATGTAAGGGGACAGGCCATGGGCCAGCTGTGCCTTAAGCTCTTACCACTGCCAGTGGTTTTAGCTCCTGGTGTGCATCTGGGGCTGCCCCTGGCCCTACATTCCCAGACACACGTGACCTGCTCAGTGCATCCTCAAGTGCCACTGACTCTCACATGAGACAGGAGAAATTTGGCTCTCCTTCCCAAGGCCCCCACAGCTGCTCACTAAAATGTGCTTTGAGAAGCCAGCCAGGCAGGTGCTCTGCAGCAAACCACAAACATTTGAAGTCCATCTTACTTTCCCAAAATATCTATTGGAAGCTGCTATACTTGTAACAGGTTGGCAGAGAAAAGGAAGGAGCTACCTTCTAAGGACTTTATATGGCAAATAAATGTGTCAACACAGAAGACTGGAGAAAAACCTTTCCCTTTTTAACCTATACAAATCCAAAATATGAAAATTCACTTTTTCACTGGAGCTTCAAAAACTTACAAATTTTTTTTAAAAAGCAAAACTCTCTTTTGCAATGCTGTCCCATTTATAAATATAAGCCCTAAAGAATATCTGTCAAATGGAGGCATCTGCATCAAAACTGATTCCATGGATGTCAGATAGGACAATGGCTACTCACTGTACATTAGTGGTTTATTTTTATAAACAACTGTTCAATCATCAATCTGGAATAATCATAGCTCATCTCCACAGTTCAATCCCCTACATTCCAGTTGCTGATTTCAGGGCTGTGATAAACTTTTTCAAGCAGTTGAGTATGGCAAGTTCATCCCCAAAATTTACTGAAATATTATTTTCATATATTAATATATAAAGTAATACTACTTTGTAGGTAAGACACCTTTTCTCTCCCTTTGCCACATAATGGTAATACAATCAGAACAAGCAAAGCTAAATTACTCTCATTTAGACAAGCATGATCCAGACTAAAATATCTCTACCAGGAAATTCATGACTAAAGCACGCTCATAATCCTTTTCACAACCTCATGATCTTTTCCATGTGACTGTCTCATACAATACTACTAATACATTACTTGGAAACTTTAGTCATGCATCCCTAATTGTGGTGTTTAGCTTTGAATGGTACCTTTTCTCCATGCCATAGTGGTTAAAATAGTTTGTAACCTATGACTGTGATTCGTTGCTGAAAAACAAGAGCTGAACAGTCTCAGAGCAGTTTCAAAATCAATTACTTGTCTGTTTTCAGTTAAAAGTCATAACCCTAGCAAAGGATTTTTGATCTTCTATTGTATAATATTCTGTATCTTCCACTGCAAATCTTCTTATGGAACAGATACTTAAAAAACAAATGTAGCCATAATAAAGTTTCCAAAAGAACAACCAGAAAGAATTATTTCTTTCTTTTTAAATGAGCTTCATTATTCTCTAGGCAACTGTAAATACCAGTCATGTTTAACCTGTCAGGCAGTACTCATGTGTATAATACTGGAAAACTGAAGTCCAAGTTCTATACACTTCAGTGGCACAAAATGTTGTATAGCTGATCTCATTAAAGGAACTTTAAGACTCTCAAATCCCCTCAAGAGAATATGCAAGGGCAGCCTGAGGACAAGGCTACACCAAAATTGAAAAAGCCTCTGCCTAATTCTGTTCACTCCTTTGATTCCGTGCTGCCTGCCCTCCTCAGCTCCCGAGGGGCAGGAATGGATCCCGGCAGACAGGAGGGAAAACAGCTGTGGGTCAGTGATAAACTACAGCACCCGTAAGGGGCAGGGCTGAACCACCAGCACCTGCTGCACCTCCCTGAGCTGCAGCAAGAACAGAGCCCTTCCTGACACCTCAGGCAGCAGCACCAGCGACCCAAGCCAAGCTCCACAATGAGAACGTGTGCATTTGCAGGCAGAGATGAAGTGTGTCCCACCAGAGGGCATTTCAGAAAGGCACATGATGCTGCCCAAGGCACCCCATCCCCTCCCCACACAGCAGTGCAAGAGATCATTCCCAGCAAATGGAGAACTGATTCAACTTACACACACACAAGCTTCAGGTGAAAGCACATGGGCAGTGCAAAAGCACAGCTGCCTTCTCTGCATGGAAAACTCAGCACATCTCTGTGCAAAGCACTGTCTGCCTAGGGTGTTTCAGCTACTTAAGCAAAGGCACCTGTGATCAGTTAGGTTTGGTTTCTTTTAAAAATCTTTTTTTTATTCAATGTCCCTTGGATTTCTGAAATTTATCCACAGTGCTTACTATCTATTTCAACTGTTCACTTTATGCCCTAAAGCCTGGAATATAATTTGTGGGGACTTCTTTGTTTATTTATCACTGTTTCACTGAGACTAGAAAACTAGTTCAAGAGTTAGGCTTTACTTTGAAACAACAAACTTGGATTCAAATAATGTAGTCATACAAAATTCAAACTCAAATGAAAGCCACATCTGTTATTCCAGCACTTGCAGCCCACGTACCACAGCATTTTTTCTGTGTACAATGCTGACAAGAATATTTTAAGTGCCTAACTTTCTTCCCCCTAACCCTTTTTGTTGTCTACTCCCAACAATTTTAATAACCTGAAATATTTGTAATATAAATGCACTGATTTCTTCCCTTCCCACGCTCCTTCCCAAGTAACTTCAGTTTCACTCCCTTGTTGTTCAACTTTCTTATCCTTGTTTTCTCTGAAGAATGTTCTGCTCATCTATGAAAAACATCTTTGACTCCTCTAAGTTACTCAGCTTGAATGCCACAGAGAGTAAAGTGCCTTAGCAAGATTTCATGGGCAGCTACAAGTTCCACACCAAACACATGCTCCAGCTAAGGCAAGAGAGAACCCAGAGACAGGAGGTGCTAAAAATAAGGACAAAGCAATATTCTTACCAAACTAAGGCATTCTCACTGGGAGGCAGTGCAAGTTTAGCACTTGTGTAATTCATTTCTATTAGGAATTTATCAGAGTTAACAGCTCTATGAGAAATGCCAATATCTTAAAAAGAGAAACATGACTTGAAATAATTATTGACTACACAAAGACAGTTTTTCTTACAAGTCCTACAAATTTAACTGCTTTTCTATACTGCAGGTATTCACTCCAGTGTACATGCAGGAGAGATGTATGCAGCTTCCCCCATCCTGAACTGTGCAATACTTCATACAAATAACACAGTTAAAAAAAAAAAAAGGCTGGAATCTGAAAATCCAAATGAACCTACTCTACATTTTTTTAATTTCACATTTTTAACAAATACTAGAATACAAAATCCTATTTATCCAGCACACATTTTTAAGGCAAGTTTAAAAAAAAATAACGTGAAATTAATATATTGTTGTTACTGAAATACATTTTAAGAAAGCCATAAACACATTTTAACTAAATAATAACAATCTGGTTTTGTTTTATCAGTCTTAAGCTGACAGTAGCTTCTGCTAATGGAAACAGGAAAACATGCTACAGATCAATTAAGTTAAAATGAACCATTTCTAACTTCAGTTCTCACCCATCTCCTGTACTCTCTTCCTTCTTCAATTTCAGTGAAACAGGTTTGTGGATTTCAGTGAAACAGGTTTGTGGATTTCAGTGAGCCTCATTCATTTGAAAACCTATAGCCCAGTAGGAGGGGCACTTTGTAAGAACAGACCATTAACGAACTGATCCAAGCCCTGTTTGCCAAGTTAATACCAGATAAGACTTCCAGAGTACAGAAAGCATTTATGCATAACTGAACACACCATGAATGCTTCCTAAAAATCTGAACTGAGAGGTATTTGAAAAGCCAAGTCCCAAGCATAATAAAATGATCTTGAACTGATACAGTAGCAATCTACCAGCTCAGTTATCCAGAAAGGAGCATTTATTCTGAACATAAAAAAGCTGAAGAGCCTTCTTCAAAGGGTCAGTTATTTGTAAGAAATTGCTGAGTACAGGATCCTTCTCAGTGCTAAGGTAATAGAAAAACTTCAGAATACTTGGAAGTTCTGCAGGTATTAGTTCTGCTCACCAAGAATTAATTTGCAGTCTTTCATATATAAATTAAATGTAGTCCATGAACACCTACTAATGCACAGAATTTATAACAGAGTGAATTTGCTTTTGTGCCAATATTCTGTATTGAATACACTGTTCCATTAGATCCTATTAAGATACCAACCAGTGCTTGGAAGACTGAAATACTTGAAAAGATAAACCAGTTACAGCTGCATTTTAATATTTCATTTTTCTTCTGGAAGTAAGCAAATTGTTTTGGTTACAACCAAAGCTGAAGTTCAACAAATATTTTAAAATGGTGTTGCACTTAAAGCAGCAGTGCTGCCCTCCCCCCCTGCTTCACTCTCTTGTTCCCATTCCCACAAAACCATTTTTGGACACCGGCACATTTGTTTGCTGATCTGTTCACTGTGCAGCTGTACAACTACATTCTGCTGAAAAAAGGCCTAGAAAAAGAAAAAAAATATTATTTTCATGACAGATTACTTTTCCTATCTGGCTCACTGTACAGCTGCACAAACACCACAGTCCACACAAAAAAAAAAGAGCTTTAGGTGGGAGCACCAGTTACTGATCTGGTCGATCTGCAGACCAACAGAACATTTTGATAGAGCACAAATAAAATAACTGGCCACCTCAAAATGCACTCAAATAACACTGAAACTTATTTCCTATGGAAAGCCATTCAAAAATAATTTCTCCAACTTTCCCTTCAGAATATAACAATATTTCTAATAAAGTGTATAAAGAATGTAATAATATTTCTAATAAAGTGTTAAAACCAGCTGCAGTACTTTTATTTTCTTATAATTTACACCACTATAACTACTTCATCCTTGCCCTACATTGTAGTACTTGTGGTATGTTAGAAGGCATAAAAGGCATGTCTTTGATGAGTGTTTAATACCTATTACAATAAATCTCTCTCCATCACTGCTACAATCAAAAAAGGAATTATGCATGCCTACTGCTAAGACAATGACTTATCCCTCTGGAAAAAAAACAAAAATAAATTCAGAAAAGCTGTCAGTTATGGAAGTCCACTCAAACATGAGACTAAAGCATATTTTTACATGTGCTATGCCAAATTAGTGCCCAATTGTGGAGGCCATTTCTAGAATGAAGAGGTTTCAAATTATACACCATTGAATCAAATCTGTATTTTAAATAAGGGATTTAGTTAATGAACCAACATCACAGACTTTTATAAGGTGCTCTGCCAACATGCCACTTAAATTTTTCTTAGCAAACTTATTCAGTCAAGAGAACAAACCAGGAGAACTGCTACTCTTAGACAGCAGGCAGCTACTGGAACCAGTGACATCTTGAGTTACTGAGCTCCCAAATGTCTTTGTTCAGTAACTGTGGGAGACAAAGGGGTTTGTGAAGATGTCTTGGCAGATTCAGAGGTAGCACTTAACCAGTCTGACACAGGACATAAAATAATTGTACATATTTCAACAGGCAAATCCACCAACAAAGTACCCAGCTGAACCAATTAATGCCATTTTCACCACGTTCCAGATGAGACCTCAACAGAATTCATGCCATTTCCCTGCCATTGTTTATCTTAACCAAGATTACCCTGAAAGATCCACCTGGCTACTCATTACAGGTTTGTGTGCTGATGGAGGCCACCATTCAAACTGATACAAATACTGTCTGGCTTCAAAAATCACTCACCACGAACAATAACATTTCTTAGCACAGTATTAACTCAGAAGGGACACAAGTTTAAGGTAAAATAATGAAAATGCAGTATTTAATACCCAATATTACTCTTAGTGCAAGATTAGAGACAGAAGAGGGGCCAGGAAGCACAATTTACTGGTAATATGTGAGGCAGAAATATTAAGGGTCTGGCATTGCTTACTGTCAAGGGAAGTAAAACAAGCGAACTGTAACTGCATGTCCAGAATAAAAACCTGCAGAGCACGTGAGGCATCATTTTGGTATTTCACTCTTATTCAATCACTGCTTGATTGAATACAAGGAACTCCTGTATGACACTTTTCATAGGATATGGGCAAAACTCAGCAAAAAATGTGGGGTTTTCCCATTGTTGATATACATTCCTTTTATGTGCAGAACAATGTACTCCTCTAGGTGTTTCACTCTGAGAATACTTTGTTTATAAAATATAATTAATCCTTTGTCTTTACAATTTACTGTTAACAACTAAGCTACAGTAATGGAGAAAATTCCAGTAAATTAGTTTATTTATAGAAACTCTCGTGATTTTCAACAAATACATGGCAATTTGCCTTTTTGAACTTTATTTATGTTTTAAGAACTCAACAACAATACAATACAAGGCTAAGTATCATCTTCTAAGACTGGGAAAGTATTGCCATTGTTTACTGCAATCGATTGGAATCACAAAGCTTGACACAAGGAAAACAATAATAATTTGCTATACTTGCTGCATTATTAAAGCATCTCATCTTCATCATTTGTTCTTTTAAGAGTCAGCATTAACCCCTCACATTCCCGTCCCTACTACTGAACATACATAGTTAGCAAAAGCCAGTGTAAGAATTTTTGCCTAAAGCCACCAAAAATGAACTTGTGTGATCTGTACCACACTCTGCAAGACACACATGCATAACTTTAGACTACACACTTAACTCCATCTCTTATCTGGAGTACAAAGACATCAACTCAGTGAAAAAATAACTAGTTATGAGCATACTACAATGAAAAGCAAGATTCTGTGTATACATCCTGCTGCAGCTACTGAGTATTTATTTACTGAATGTATGGTCTGGGAGCAAGCAGACCCTGTTAATATAATGCAATGCCTCTGCTGGACAATTGCCTCAAAGCACAGTCCAGAACAGCAAGGATGGAAATCTATCCTGTTTATGTATTGTAGCAGACATCAAATAAATAGGAATATTTTATATTTAGCATAAAAGCTTAGTATTGCAAGGCAACCACGTTATTTTGAAACTGTACTTTTTAGCTGAGATACTGCCTTCTAGAGACAGATGTTCAGGTCAGCACAGAAAAATGCTGCTATACTCTGCAAACAGCACCAGACAATACGTATGGCCTACTTGATACCATTTGCATTTCATGGAGTTAAAGTGCTCATCAGGGTAGTGTAGCCCTGGTGGAAAGAGGCCTTCTTTGACAGGAATGGTTACAGAAACTGCACAGAGCCCTGAGAAGTAGTGCAAGCATCCTGTGAAACAGAGTGCAGCCTGCCACCCGGCAGTGCAGCAGCTTGTCTGGACTGCTCTGGACAAGACACGAGTGCGGCAGGACTGAGAAGCAGCCCTGGCTCACTGCTCCCCTTGCAGGAGCCCCCACCTGGGGCATTACTAGGAACTGAACTCAACTGCCAGCTGTACAAATGACATATGGCTATCATGAACAATCCTACATGGAACTCAGTGTACTCAATCCTATTTAAAATGCAAATCAATATTAACAAAGACATTGCTCAAAAAAATCCATGAAAAGAATCATGCTGAACACTGTCTACTGAGACTACCTTGAGGATTACGTATACTTTTCCTTTTTTTTCTTTGATGCTCCAATCTCAGTATGGCTGCATGCTATTATCAGCAATTAGCTTGGTTAAAGAGTAACCATTTATAGATATCAAATCATCAGGTGTAAATAATTTATCATTTACAGTTATCTTTGAGAATCCAAGGTATTATTTTTGTCCATTAATAATCATCACCCTAAGGAGCTATTTATGAATGTAGTGCAAGTCAGGTAATCTAGAGGTCTGCATCTTTATGTATAAATTGTATGACAACCCCTGCCTGGAATTCATGTTGTATTACAGTGGTCTTTACTAGCAGCTGCAATTGGTAACTATTTCTAAAGCATTTATAACCTACATGCAGAAACACTGCACAGTCTCTGTTTATTGCATTTACAATTTTATGCAAATTCTGCATGAAACTTCTTTCACACATTCTTAACCTGAAGAGCATTTTATCTCACATATACATTTTATCTTATCTAACCAACCACAATGTAGATTGATAACTTTCATCCATGATCAGTTATACAGCAGCTTCCAGCATTACAGAGACTTTCTCCCAAAGCTAGATTGGTTCAGCTACCTCAGTGACTTCAGAACTGTGTCTTTATCACTTAAGATATTATTCAGACTTATTCACTTATTCAGAACTGTGCTTATCACTTAAGCACCAAATTGAATGCTTATAGAATTTTCTGTACCTATTAACAGTCCAGAAACTCTCTCTCGAGTTTTAAGTCCTCTGTTAATATTCCACATTTTGTACAGATGTTTTGTTTAACACTGACATGTGACTGTCAACACAGAACAAAAAGAGGGGCAGGTTTCTCTCACAACTTCATGAGGCTACAGAGAAGGTGACAGCCAGATGAGAATGAAGCTCCTGGGTCACTGAGAGAAAAAGGACAACAGCTGAGTCATTCCTCCTCTGCAGCAATGGAAAAAGCAGCCAGGAAATGGAAAGAGAGATGAGGCAGCACAATGTGAGAGGAGAACATTTCCAGCCTAATGAATCATGTCCCCCAGCATGGGTACAACACCCTACATGTAATTCCAACAACCCCTTCTTCTCAGAAGCTTTTCAGACTGACATCAGCAAACCATCATCTTCCAAGTCTTTTATGTTGCTTTCCAGCTTTCTGGGTATTAAAACCTGTACAGACTTTGCACTATCACAAGAGGTAACAAAAGTGACTTCAAACAATTATTCTTTAACTTCTTTACTCCTCGGATTTTTATTCCATCCAAAAAGCCTGGGGCAATGGCACTGACTCAAGAGCACTGAAAGACTATGAACAGGGGGACTGACACATCACATACCTTTCTCTCCTTTAGGAGGTTACACCGTGGCAGGACATGGTTTCCAGCATTTCAATCAGTTTTTGAAATTTAGAAAAAAAAAAGTTTTATTAGCTTTGCCTAATTGTTACCCATTTCCTTACCAGACCTTATTAGGTGTACTCCAAGTAATAGCTCAGCTGTAATTAAAGAATGACGTAAGAGCAGTCTTAATTCCTTCTGTGATAAGTGTTACTTCAAGCCTTTATCAGTAAGATAAAATTACTAGTTTTATTTAAGATAACTTCAGTAGCCCACCCCCAAAGATAATACTTCTCAGATGATAAAATTGTTTTAAATAATTGCTATCTAAATTAAGTTGGGCTCCCACAGTAAACCAGGAAGTAATACAGATTTTCTTCACATTAGAATGGAAATTGCTTCCCGAAAGGCATAAATTCTCAGTATTCAAGGAACTCGCCCTGCACCTAAAGCTCAATCCTGTGAGAAGCATGCCTGCCCAAGGAACAGAACTGCTTTTAAACTTTCCTTCTCTGAAACTTCTACTGACATTTTTAAATGTGTTACAGAAAGTCAAGATACATTTGGCAATTCTGAAAACATCCTAGAAAATAATATGCTGTGAAATATCAAGTGTTCTGACATCGCTGATCATCAAACCGAGGAGAAAATGGAATGAGGTTTTCTCTTTCTGGTATCATTCTCACTGCTGACACATGCAGTTATGTCTGTCCATCAGTTTGTTCAAATGCCACCATCCTTCCAAGTTTCACTACAGTAAAGGACCAAATCATAACTTACAGAAAAACTTTAATGGAGTTTGGCTTTTAAGTAGCTTTTGTAATTTTAATCAGCAATTCCACCTGATGAAAACATGTAAATGTTCTCAAACTGATTTACTTCATCACTGATTTATCAAGTGCCTATCACACATTTAAAACAAACTTCCACTTCTGTAAAAACTGTGACAGAGACAGGAATAAGTCTTCACAATAGGCAAAGCCATGATCAAACGACATTGAAACTGGACAGCAAAGCAAACAAGTCCAAACACACTTCCTTTAGGACTATATACAAACTTCAAGTCCATGTGATCTGGGCACTACTTAAAAAGTCTCTTCAGATTGAATCAGCCACTGCTCTGCAGAAAATGTAGTAAGAATAGAAAGAGTAAATTACAGTTGCTTGACTTAGTGAAGACCAGGAAGGAAACATATGCCATGCTGGTCAGCATGTGCTTTTCCACCTCATAATTCCTTCTGTGATAAGTGTTACTTCAAGCCTTTATCAGTAAGATAAAATTACTAGTTTTATTTAAGATAACTTCAGTAGCCCACCCCCAAAGATAATACTTCTCAGATGATAAAATTGTTTTAAATAATTGCTATCTAAATTAAGTTGGGCTCCCACAGTAAACCAGGAAGTAATACAGATTTTCTTCACATTAGAATGGAAATTGCTTCCCGAAAGGCATAAATTCTCAGTATTCAAGGAACTCGCCCTGCACCTAAAGCTCAATCCTGTGAGAAGCATGCCTGCCCAAGGAACAGAACTGCTTTTAAACTTTCCTTCTCTGAAACTTGTACTGACATTTTTAAATGTGTTACAGAAAGTCAAGATACATTTGGCAATTCTGAAAACATCCTAGAAAATAATATGCTGTGAAATATCAAGTGTTCTGACATCGCTGATCATCAAACCGAGGAGAAAATGGAATGAGGTTTTCTCTTTCTGGTATCATTCTCACTGCTGACACATGCAGTTATGTCTGTCCATCAGTTTGTTCAAATGCCACCATCCTTCCACCAAGTTTCACTACAGTAAAGGATCAAATCATAACTTACAGAAAAACTTTAATGGAGTTTGGCTTTTAAGTAGCTTTTGTAATTTTAATCAGCAATTCCACCTGATGAAAACATGTAAATGTTCTCAAACTGATTTACTTCATCACCGACTTATCAAGTGCCTATCACACATTTAAAACAAACTTCCACTTCTGTAAAAACTGTGACAGAGACAGGAATAAGTCTTCACAATAGGCAAAGCCATGATCAAACGACACTGAAACTGGACAGCAAAGCAAACAAGTCCAAACACACTTCCTTTAGGACTATATACAAACTTCAAGTCCATGTGATCTGGGCACTACTTAAAAAGTCTCTTCAGATTGAATCAGCCACTGCTCTGCAGAAAATGTAGTAAGAATAGAAAGAGTAAATTACAGTTGCTTGACTTAGTGAAGACCAGGAAGGAAACATATGCCATGCTGGTCAGCATGTGCTTTTCCACCTCAAGTAAACTTTCTAGATCATGTCTGAATTACCCTGATGATCTAATTTAATTATTTTCTTGCAATGGGAAACATCCATTAAGACAAAGCCTGTGAGCATATTTGAATAACTTTAAACCACAGCTCTGCTGTAATTGCACATTTTATGACTGACTGGATATATGCTGCAAACTTAATACCTGGGTTTTATGTAAGCCAACCTGGAAAGCACCAAGACCTACACAGATATTAGTTGAAACACAGCTTTTTTTTTGAGATTTTTTTTTTAATGCAGCCAGACTCTCCAGTCATATTGCCCATTCCAGATAGGTAACAGTGTACAAACCCTCTGCACCCACCCATGGACACTAACATAATGCCAATATGGAACTGCCACCATTAATCTCATCAAGCACACACAATTAATTCAGTCTGTCCATTTATCTAGATCCTATTCTCCTTTAGAAACAGATAGCATGGCTGCATACTTTTTTCCTCTGAAGTATGAGTTAAAAGCAGTCTAAAATAAAAAAGCTGCAGGATACCACCAATAATTTTACTTTAACCATTAATTTAGCACAAGAATTTAGCTGGTAAAGTACAGTGACACTGGTCAGTGTTCTTGGGGACCAGAGAGTGCTATCCAGTTAATTTTCTTACATTACCATGCCAGACTATTAGCCTACAGAGGAACCATTAGTCCCTCACTTTGAAGTTGCACAGCATGGCTCAGTCTGAATTCCTACTTCCCTGCACATCTGAAGCAAAGCACATTATTCAGCAGAGGAAATCAGAGTGCATTCTCTGTTAAAGTCCAATTAAAAAAACCTCCTATGACACCTTTCTAATATAGAAAGTTTTCTATTTTTATGTCACTGCTACTACTACCCAAAGGGATACAAGAACATACCCACTGGAACATGCCAGGAATTACTTTTGTTAACTAGATGACAACTGCTTCCGCTCGTCTGAAAACTAACCAGGTCCTCCAGTGTGCATTTCTCAGTTCTGTATCAGGCTCGAGGTTATCACAGGCTCCCTTGGTGTTACGGTACAAGATCCTACCTTAATAAAAAAAAAATACATCATGATTGCTACTTACACATACAGCGTTAGGAGTGCTAGAAACCAGAAGTAATTCTACTCAGGCAACTCTTGTTCAGAGAGTTTTAACAAGTAGCAGGCATGAACACTTCTGCAAAGAGGGCCAAAAACGACAAAGATAGCTAGAGATTTTAAAGAGCAATTTTATTCCGCAGTTTCAACATTAAGTGTGCATTTCCAAAGGATAAAGCATAAGCAGCAGAGATGGCTGAGAACAGGAAACCAATGTTTCTCGCTCATCATTTGTGTCTGTACAGCAAAGCGACAAAGCCTCCTGGCCCTTACCCTTATTTAAGGTTCCGTGCAGGTTACAGCCCGAACGATCTTCCCGCAGCTGTTAGCGCTAAATCCCAACCGCAAGCCCTGCAAGACCTCATCGCCTGCCCTGCTGGCCATGCCCCGTCCCGGTACTGCCGCCAAGTCCCGCGGGCCCCGCACACGGGCCGGGCCGGCTCCTGCCCCGCTCCCTCCACGTGGCCGCACCGGGAGCGGCCGGGCGAGCTGGGCAGGCCCGCGGCGCGCCCAAAGCCGCCCTCGCTCCCGGCACGGAGGCTGCCGGGGGAGCTGCGAGCGCGGGCACCGGGCAGCTCCGTGCGCCTCGGGCCCGCCGCGCCCCGACCCTCCCTGCCGCCCCCCTTTCTCTCTCCGCCCGAGCGGCCGAGGCAGCCGCAGCCCCGCCGCCACGTCCCGGGCCCCCGCTCCGGGCGCGGGGAGGATTTACCTGCCGCATGGTCGCCTCCCGAGCAGAGGAAGAAAGGGGGTGGGGGCCGCGCCCGGGCCCCGCGCTCCGCCGCCGCCGCCTCGGGGGGAGCCCGGGCGCG